CCTTTTTACTGATAATGGTGCTAAATAATGGGGGCGGGAGGCTGTCAAATGCAGACTGTGAAACACATACATATATAATGGCGTTTTAAAAGCTTTATCGATTTGCTTTTTTTGCTTTGCTTCGACTTTATCACACGTATTTTTTATATTATTTTTGAACCAGAAAGTAATGCGATTTCGTTTTCTTACACATACACACCTGCGTCCCATATGCACTTCGCGGCGTATTGATAAGGGATTAAAATTTCTCGATGTTGATGCTCGAATTAATGTTAATGGTTTTTTAAAGGACTTTAACAAGTGTCTTCAATATTTCAATAATGCAGACATAAAAATAATTTTTCTTTGAACACTGTCTTTCTCTATATAGCTTTTTTAATTAAGTGATCGTAAATATATACATATAAATGTTCAGCAATAATCCAATATTTTCCACATACATTATCCTGTAGATTGAAAAGGAAAAATAATGAAAATTATCTGATAATTGTTCGCAAATTTGTAACATCTTCGGGTTACGAGTATATATATATATAGGTTAAAATTGTTACTCAGTGTTAATTTCTTGCATGAATTTCAGTTTTGTTAGACATGCCGTTTTGAGATACTGTATAATGTCCTCAACAATAAAAGAAAGAAAAATGAATGCCATGCAGATATGATAATATATTTCTTTTCGGGTTTCAAGGGACGAAGGAAAAGTTAATTATACATAGGGAATACATATTCCGAAATATCTATACCAAAGGCGAAGCGATAAGCAACGATTTGAATTTTTGTTCGTATTAGTTCATTGTTCATGATGTTGCCAGTTTTACAGTTGATGATGTTTTTAGACAAAATTTGGGTATTATATTTATATAATATATAATTGTTTCAAAATACTTTTTAATACTCGTTTGGCACGTCATAGCGTCGCCTTCCTTTTCCTTAATGATCGTCTTTAGAAACTTTTTATTCTTCAATGCATGGAGCCATGCACAGTTTATGATTTTTCACTCTACTTTAATTAACCTTAATTGCGAAATGAGTTCGTTTTTTTTCATTTCTTCATTTTCCATTATGTATCCATTTGCATTTGAGTATTTTCGACATGCAGTTTTATTGTATGCCATTAAGATATTGCACTTGTTTTGAATTTTCATCGACGCTCTGTGTGACTGTCTTTATGTTATTCGATCATGCCTGAAATCTCTTTTATTGTTTTCATTTCAATTTTCCAATTTTGAGACAAAAATGTTTTATACGTTGTAAAGTTGTGTGTATTTGTTTATAGGGATATTTCATGCTGCATGTAATTTAGAACGATTAATGATCGGTTTAACGACTTGTTTGTTAAAAATATAAAATGGTCGTTAAAAGCGCCTTTGTGTCAGAGAGGCATTGTTTTAGAAGAGCGTTAACGGGACACCATCTGGTTAAGAAAGGCCATTAACGTATACAGTTTACTCGCATTAGCTTCAACCTAGGCAAGAAATTATGGTATACAACAGCCTGCTGTAGATGTCTGTTTTGTGCGAGTCAAGTGTTTCATGATTAAAACTAAACAAATTCTATATAGGGCCAACATCACGCATAAATGTATATATCGCGATGAAAGCAAGCGCACGGACAATATACGTTATATGATTAGCTCGCATGCAACGTGAGGTGTGCCAAAAGCCATTCTAATCTCACAATAATTCTCATGTTATATGCGCTACGAGTATTAACCATTGTCTCGATAAAGCGTTGTATTTATTGCAGATATTGTTTCAGATGCGGACTAATTTCGAGCCATTCATTGTGTAATTATCCACAACTTGCTACTCTCAAAAAGTGTTTCTGCCTTTCGAGTACAATAGATAGATCGTCATTTGCAGGTTCGCCTCGATAATCGCGCGCGTTACCAGTTACTAACTGCGTTTATCTTTGTACCTGTAAAATTCTCTTTGCGTTTATCGTATTCAGAGCTTTATCGGTTGGGTAGATTATAGAGTAGTATGAGAGTTTCACATGGTTGTGTTTGTTTTCTTTTGAAATCTCCACGTTTATTTGAGAACGAGATTAGAGTACTTTTTATAAAAAGAATAAAATAACCCTAGCTGACATGTGGTGGGCCTTAGCCTACTCGCTAGAGCTAGAATGTATAAATTATTTAATAGGTTTCCATTTACTGTAAGCCAGATATCTTTATATACGAAAAGCATATCTTACAAGTTTATGTAAATTTTTTTGTTTTCTATTTTGAAAACACAACATGCCAAGCCTCTATTTAATCACTATACAGTATACAGTTTCATACCTATAATACATAGCTTGTGTAAACTTTATCTATGTGCTAAGGACATCTAACTAATATTCCCTATGTATATGTCAATGAAAATATATGTACAAATAAATACAGTATTTCTGAGCGGGAATTCAAAAAGCAATTTTGTGTGAATTTCCTCTTCTCCATTTCGACACAAAGTGCAACGTGACACTTTGCCCATATGTTATCACACCTATAAATTGTACTCAAAAAACATCCTAGAGCACTACTTAGGATTCTATCTAAATATTACGTGCGTATATCCTGAGACTCTCAGACGGTTTTTCCTTGTTTAAAACTTCAGAACAACGATTCAATTTCTTGCATTACTTGTCTGCACGTCTAGCTTTCTATAGTTCCGTTGCATGGGCGCTCGGCATTAACATTATGCTGAGCTCGAGCGAACAATTCTCACACTTGTCTAATCCTAGCGTGTCTGCACATATCATCTGAAGAGTGCACGTCAGTGAAGGCATAAGTGTCTTATACTATTGTGCAGTCAAAATCCTTGAAGCATCGAATTAGTCCATTCACGCAATAGTTTTTAAAATATATTTATATATATATATATATATATATATATATATATAGAAAATGTATGCTCTCTAAATAGTAGAACACATATTCTCTCTCAATTACAAAAGCTCGATTGATATTTCCAGGGCTTGAAATATATAACAGCCGATCACCGATCATTGTTGGCAAGAAGTTGTTTATGATCGGCGGGAAAACATGGTTTTCAACCGGGAAAAGCAAGGAAAGTCCTGACTACCGTCTACCGATCACCATGATCGGGAACTTTGAGAAATTATTTCAAGCTCTGTATTTCATATTCAACTTTAGCCTATATATATATATATATAGTTCCGTATAGGCGAACTGTCAAACCAGTAGGACAGATCTTTAATACGAAATTTCCCCATTGGCAATGCAAGCTATATAGAAAGGTTTTCTTTAGTGAGTGCAAGTGTATAGATATAGTGATGAGCAATACATACTAGTTGGATTACAGGAACAAACTAGCTGAAAATATATGAAGAAGAAATACATCATAAGATATTTTTCAGGTGATTTGATCCTGCTATCGCTGTATAAAAGTTTTCTTTATATCAAGGGATGTATACTATTTCCTCAAACTCTCTTTAAACCATGCAAGTCAAGATGAACCGTCTTTGAAAAAACTTCCTACTTTTTGTAGTTTTCGAGTAATAGAGGAAAATTTTGTAAGATAATGTTCATTATCATCAACTGAGTTCAAATGTGCACATTTGAGAAACCCCTCTGACATCTTATTTGGAAAAAGTGGCTATAATCTGTCCTAAAAATGTGGCCTGCTGTTCTAGATTGATATATAACCCAACTAAATTGTTTTGTATCGTTTTATAATTTTTCCATTTGTACACATTGACATATTGTTCGGATCTCTTCGTTTCGAGGGCTTAATTTGCAATTGCATGGGAAATGAAAGATCGTCGGCAATGTTTGTCACAGTAAATTGTTGATTGAAATGTTAAATGCGGAGCGGAAGAAACACAGTTAACGAAACCTCTTTTCATTAACGTTTGTCAGTCTGGCTTAAGTAACTTTTACAGTACTTCCTTCCAACTTTTGTTTGAGACATAGATGAAGTTCGAGTGAAGACGTAGACGTTTGCATAGTATTTGCGGCGGACGCTCGTGCAGGGCGGGACAGTATAGCCAATATATAATCTTGTCGCCGGTTTTACTTCAGTAACTGATATCAGAAACAATAATTCTTATTCCTTCTTAAGCAGCTTATACTAACACGTGTTTTTTTGTAAAGAAAAGACTGCCATTTATGTTTATAAAATGCTGTAATAAAAGATAACGGAATTTGAAAAGGGAATTGCGTGAATGCAAAGTATGAAAGGAAGTTTATAAACACGGCGGAAGAAACTAGAACAGGAACTACGGAATGATCCTGACGTTTGTTTCAATACACGTATATTCATAATGTAGCTGTTTGTCCAACTCTAAAATTAAACTCATTAGATATTGCAACTCCGCCATTTTTATTTCGATAATATTAAAATCATAATACGCTCCTCAAAACGTCTTTGTTAAACTCGAAAGGAAAAATCATTTACCGCGCAGTTGTTCGACTATAGAAATCACTTAATAAACAATATAAGCTCCCAAAAGTCTTGTGTATATTTTGCAATATGGAAACAGATGAATCATCACTTCGTCTGCGTCTCCACTTATACGAAACCATCGTACACTCAGAGATCCATGAAATACATATTTAACTATATAATCGCCAGCAAAGTCATATAGTTTGTTTGGCTGAAAATATGTAAGGCTTTGTCAGTGTATAGTTATAAGGATTGAAAGATATAGAATGTAATTTTCCTTTAAATGGTTCAGTTATCAGTATCTATATCTGCTTTTTTTAACTTCAATTTTAACTCATTAGGAATAAGGGCCCAAATATCTTAATATTACTGTATACTGTTGAAGTATTTTTCATATGTGTGTTTCAATGAAAATGAAAATAACCCGGCGTGTTTTAAGGTTTGAAAAGATACAGTAATTTCCCCTAGTCTAATTTTTTGAAGCCCTAATTTTAAACTCATTAGTCATGGGGGTCATGAATATCAATATACAGACAGAATCATTATATATAATTGTTTGCGCGCAAAAGAAGGCAGCACGCTATTATTTTATACAGGTAAAAGCGAGTAATTAGTCATTCGAAGCAGATAAATTTATTCAATGAATCTTTTATTTACAAATCACAAAATAAGCTGTACAAAGTTTATTTACAGAGGAATTGAATTCTTCACTGAAAACGTGAATGTATTATAATTTGTGAGTGTTTAAGTCGAGATAAGCATCTCAATATATAAGCTCACAAGCGATTATCTATAGTACGCGCTGTCATAAGCTAATTTTACCTCCATTATTCTTTCCCTTTCATCTAAACCCAAATAAATAACTATAAATTTACCCTCGATTTAGTCCTATTTGATAATGTTTTGACAAAGTAGAAAAATGTGTTACCATATCAAAATGACAGTGACTTTGCGACGTGTGTCAACGTAACTGGACAATTTGTTACGGAACTTTTTGCCTTTAAGTGCAGCATTTTAAAAAGGTTTAACGCGAAATTGTTCTTTAGAAAAATGTTAACAGCTTAAAGTTTTGTACTTATAGCATACTCCTACAGTACGAAGATGAAATATAAGTACAAAATTTTATTATTTAGGGCTATTCGGCAGAACCTCAAGATCGAACACTGTCATGTGATAGGGTTTTACCTTGAAAAACGTTAGCTGTTTTCTTAACTTATTGTGTTCTGAGCAGTTCTAGCTGTTCATTCTCTATTTATTTACTGAGTTTATAAAACTCGGTTGATTTTCCGTCCTGTAACAAAAGTGCGTCAAAAGTCAATGTTTTATTCGGCGACTAGAATTGTCCCAACGAATGTATGAGAAGGATACGCGCTCACGATTTGTGGTTGCCAGTTCGCCTTCAGCACATTTAAAGTATGGCTCCCTTTTCATAAGATAGATGTGGCAGGGTAGACTTCATATGATTTGCGAACATTGGTGAGAATGGTGACTGGTAGTGAAACGTTGGGTAGGGGGTTATGAAAGGTGAATAAGGGAAACCGTGTCCGCTTCTTAAACTTGCTTCGTGGTAAAGCAGTGGAACTTTGAGAAGTCTCTGAGCTTGGGAGCCATGAGCGGCATTTGCGGCGTCTAGTTCAGCTGCGATTTGTCTTTTCCATTTATTTCTTCTGTTCTGGAACCAAATTTTCACTTGTGTTTCGGTGAGATGAAGTTGTACGGCTAACGCAGCGCGTTCTGATGAGCTGAGGTAGCGTTTCATATCAAACGTCGTCTCGAGTTGATATACTTGCGTCCGGGAGAAAACCGTGCGCGTTTTTTTCTTACGGCGTTTTTTCATCGCATCGTTGTTTGTATCTTCATCTGAGTCGATAGGTGGGGATTTTGAACTGCCATATTCTGGCTCTGGTGATTCTAAAGTGAAAAATATCGAGAAGTTAGATAAATATTGTAAACAGAAGATGCTTTATACCGTTCAATCCAACAATTACATGGTCTCACAGGTTATAAAACACACCACCATCGCTAATAAGCATATCCACAAAAATACCTTTCAGAGTTGACAAAAAGACGGTCGAATTTTACCTATGAATTATTAACTCTTAAGTCGGCATCAGAATGAAATACATGCTGTATACCGAAATACTGTACTTGTCCAATTCCGCAATGTGTTGGTGGCACGTGTAAAATTTAAGCCAAAAGGTATTCTATGTAGATTTTAAGACTTAAACCAGGAGCGGTCAGGCCTTGGCTTGGCTTGGATATATAGGAATAAATAACCAGCTGCTAGCCTGTTTTTTTTTCTATAGGAAGCAGAGCTCAATATGGTTTTCTAACTATAGGAGCTCAATCCCTTTATTCGATAACTATGTTACATTATTTTCCTCTTAGGATAAATATAAATTGTCATTTCCATATAATCGTTCAGAATTGTCCGTGGGTTGCGGCATACGTGCAAAGCGCGTATATTTGTATCCAACGATGGATTCAGTACAAAACCGTATTAAAATATAGCCGTTTTTGATAGGAGCGAAAATTTAATCAAGTTTCTTATATACGTTATCTTAACTTATATTTCTTATATAAGTTTTTAACCGTTAAGAAAAGATCAAATGCTATATTATATATACCAAACATTTTAGGAAATAACAAAACAATTAGAGGTGAATTCAAAATCCCACTCTTAAATGCTAATTGTTTTTATATATAAAGCATTTCTGAAGAGTGACCAAGGTGCATGTTTACATCTTTAGTATACGGGTAAGGAACAGATATTTCATATGACTCCAATGTATTGAAATGATTCAGTCCTATGCTATGGTACCGTTCGGGATACTGATAGAACGGGATACTGATAGAACGCGATATTCTATATTCTGTGCTTTTATACGCGATATTTGATATTCTAAAGTAAGCTTTATATTCTTGCAATTCGTGATTGGTGATTTATATTTGTATATATAGTTTGATAAATCGGAATGAATCTTTATAAATGGGATAATGGCAATTTTTGCAGAATATATAAGGCGCAATGATACTGTAAGATTCTACCAAAATGCGAGCTTTTGTATAATTTTGTACCCAACTTTTATATTTGCAATCCCCGACTCGCTGTATGTGAACACAAGGGTAATAATTAAACGGCTATTCTTGAAAATTTTAGAGATATGTAAAGTCGAGTATAGAGCAACTATAAGTAATATTGGATATACTTACTAGCTTCAATGCTTGTTTGTCTAGCTTGGTATTCTGTGAACCAGGAGTGAATTCTGCGTTGTTTGCTTTCTTCTGTCATGCTGGGTATTCTTTCTAATGCAGGTTTCACATCTTTGGAGCATTCGTCCTCCAAATCATCACGACAAGGCTCTTCTTCCTTCACGTTCGTAAATTTCTCTTCAGGTTTCTCGTCGTCCTTCTTCTCCAAGAGACTTGAAATGGAGAACGGGTTTGCTCGTCTGTTTGCCATGATGGTGTATGTGTGTGTTGCTTCTAGCCTCTGCACTGCAGCTCTCTTGATCGGATTGTGGACGTTGAAAACAAGACTTTGTTTGACTCTGACTCAATATTGCGAGAGGTTGTGGCGCCTTGCTTGAGAGTTCGATAATGATCTGTATTCAAAGTGTCAAGTAGTTTAAAAAGCACTATTTCATAGTCAACGACCATTGGCTAACACAATAGCTAATGGTTTTCTTAAGAACAGGATATAATCAGCCCCGCCCACAATGCGCGAATAAACAATGAATTGCCATTGTAAGCGTGCCTGCCATTGGCTAACGTTGAGCTACAATTACCGATTGCATTTCTAAACCCTGGCTTAAGTCTCTTTCAATTGGCCAATGGCGAACAATTAGTCAATTTCCTGTTTACCCGCTAAAGACTGGTTATGAAAAAATCTTAGTCTAAACTTTACAGTGTAGAATCTTTTGTAAGCAACCTTTTCTTTGAGACAGGAAATGGTCTTACGCACATACAGTTTATTTATTTATTTATTTATTCTCATTAAACATATTGGTTTAGCGTGGGCAACGAGCTTGGGACCATTTCATATATTTCCTATTTTTCGCGTGTTCGCGCAAGCTTGGCCTTTATCATATAATTGGGACACGAATGTCAAAATGTTTATAGTGCGCGGTGATTAACATGAATAGGCCTTTTTCGTTAAGGGTGCTTTTATCGCTCGCAATATCGCTCCTAAACGTTCTACTCTCTACAAAATACTGCGGTAAGAAACGCACATTTGGTTATTAATATTGATGCACTCAACGCTAGCCTGATAACACTGACAGGAAACACGAACTCGTCTTATAGCTTCAAATAACGAGCAATCTTTATCACCTGCTTTGCCGATAAACGAGATTAAATCGAAATGAAACAAAAAGCGAATAAAATTTCTAAAGAGAATTCGCTGAAATTGAATGTCTAGGCCCATATCTTGGTCTTGTTTGCCTAGACTTGGGTTTTTCGAAGTTTCCTCCTTGCGCGTATTGTTCTTGATGTATTTAATTTATTCCTCTTTAATTTGCGTAGATGAAAGCAGTCTTTATACAAATAATCTCAATGATTTATGACCTGTTCTTCTTATCGAGCTATAAACAAAAGGAAACAAGCTGAACGCATTGTCGCTTGAATAATCTAAACCATGTTAATTTTTTTACAATAAAGTTACCAAAAGTTTGATATCTTTCGGGAGACCAATTTCCTTTGCCTAAACTGAATTCTTCTTGAATTTCTGTTTGTTTAGAATATCACAATGGTAATTTACACTTGAATGTCAACAATGCGAGAAAAGTTCTGCCCTATGATTTCGATCGTGTATTTGTTTGTGTATCTCAAATATTATGTAACATTTTCATTTTCATTACTTATTCCTCTTCACGCAAGAATGTATAGCTCATTGAGTCGCGTTTGTTTCAAATTGCATGCACAAGTGCAATTTAAACAAGCCAGCAAGTTGTTGTTAACAATGGCTTGAAAATTAGCTAATTGATTCGTTGTTTGCTTTCCATGGTTTCTAAATGCTCGCCTTTACCTCAAATTAACAAAACTAGACAAATTAGTATACCTCTTCTTTTCAGTTCAAATTGAAGTCGTACACGCTCCGTATGTGCTGTCGTGTTTCACGCAATTTTTTATGCCCGGGTTTTAGTATAATTAAAACTTTCGGTCAGAAGTAATTGGGAACGATTCACGAGTTTATAAACACGGCTAAACCACGAGTTTACTTTACTTTAAGAGAAATCAAACATTTAGATTTTGTTTACATTTCGTTATCAAGAAAGGCCGGACGTGTTTGCGATGGCAAATCATGTTTAAGTTATCCCTTTTTGAAATCTTAAATGCTTTCTTTTGTTTTGCGTTTTGTTGAAAAATTCGGTGATTGCATGTGCGACCTCATCATCGCCTCGTACGTTAATCAGTCGATGTAACCTTTGTACATTTGCTCTTCTCTGGGGCCAATATTAAATAGAAATATAGATTTTTTTCTGTTTTCATTCTGAAATTTTGTGTTGCGCTTACATTATCGTATATATATGAGAATCGTCCAGCTGCAGAGATTCTTAGATTCTTCTCTTGTAATATCTACACACCTAATCTTACTCAAAACAACTAAGGGGTTTCAGTGCCTCGTTTAAAACCACTAATCGTGATTTGAAATCTCGTCATTGGGCTTTCTTTATCTCGGAAAGCGCGCAATTGCTTATTTACACGAACAATTGTGGCGCATTTCAACTCTTTGCACTTTTTAAGAGTTTTAATTTTTCGGGTACACATTTGCGTTAAATGCTTGTGCTTTCGAGATTGAGCAGTTCGTGTTTGATGTTTCTTACGTGAGGTATTTAGAAATCAGTTAAATGTTCGCTAGGACGCTGACAAGCCATCTGCCACGACCTCAGGTTATTTTTTTGTCTGATTTTATGGCGCGTAAGATAATGAAGCAAAAAGCGCGCGGTTTGCACTCCTGATTGAGGTACTTGGCGCGATAATCGCCAAATGTTTCCAAAATTCTTGGACGATAGCTTCCTGCGGTGAGAATTAGTAATAAAACAGCCAGACAGCTTGGCAAATGTGGGCAGAATGAAGAGATTTCGTTTATCTCGAGATTTATTAAATAACAATAGTCAATACTGTATGTGCTCTGGGCGTTCCCCGCCTGGCTTTCTCTCCCATGGTCGCACTATTTTCTCTGTTTAATTAAAACAGACCCTGTTTCAGAGCTGTCATTTGTAAAATATGAGTCATAAATTACGAGGAAGAGCCAAATCTGCAAGGTTTTTTTATCAGTATGTCCTCAGCCTGCATGAAAAGATCATTACATCAGAAGAACAGTAATTTATATTCAATTTGAAATCGTCGAAATATTTCGTGTGTTTTAATGTAGATCTTTACTCAGTTCTTCTGTTTCAAAGCTGGAGAGTTTGGCGGTTTGCTGAACTGGCAGATCGGATTCAAATGAGACTTCACTCAACTATATTAATATTGACATTACATGAGTGCTGGTTCTTCTCATGCTTACAAACATAGCTATATAGAGAATAGAGAATTGTGCGCTGTTTCCAACAATTTCGTATATAATGCATGGTACAATTGCATGTATACGTATAACTATAAGGATTGTTTAATTGTTTGTCTTTTCAAACTCAATATATTTATATTGTAATTCTAAATATAATATTTGTTATTGGAAGCATTCCAACTAATTGTGGTTAAGTTTAAATCTGATTCATGTCCCATGACTGTCCCAAGATCATTCTAGCGAACGATGTTTACGAGAATTGAGTATTGCATGTCGTATTCTACGCATAGAAAGCGCTAAACTCGTATATCAATTATCTTCAGTCTAAAGAGATTAAAGTTTTCAAGTTTTCGTATCATTCTTTATCTGGTATGGACTTCAAAGTCTAGAGATTTTCTGCATGCAAGACATTGCATGCAAAATCTGTAAATTAAACTATAAGATTTTAATGATAAGAAAGCATTGAAAATACCGCACGAAAGATGACAGAATCGGCACTTTTCCCGGCAATCAACTGCAAAATTTTTCCTCTTATACCTTAAATCGATTGAATTTAAATTCGGAATACAATGCTTATTTTTAGAGACAAAGATGTTCCCAATAAGGTAACTGCAATTACAGAGTCTTAATTATCGGATTCTTTTGGTGTTCTTTATTTGGGCAAGTCCTATATAAACTATTATTTCCCCATAAGCGGCAGAGTTGTGTTTGCCTTATAAATATATATGATTAATATATCTTATTGACAAGTTTGTATACCCTCGTCTGTTTGATTGTTTGTTTTAGCCTACTATATTGTATCTATATTTCATTCCATTGTTCCTGTTTGAACAGGGCTCACGTTGCTAGTATTTGTAAAACTGAAATTGCTACCCTAAAAACTATATAGTAGTAATAGTCATAAGAATGAACGAAGGCGCGCGCACAATATGATATTAATCGATCGATTATCGGTTTCTGTTGGGTTAGTAAGTGAAGAATATTATGAAGGCAATAATAAATTAACATGCATATCATTGAACCGAATGTTATTCATTGTGGATTGTGACTTGCATTTAAACCTTAAGGCATTTTGTCTACATGCATGCACCATTTCTATAAAGTAGAACCTGCAGTATATTGGCATCGCTATTCTATTTTCATGGTTTGGTGCGACCACGTGTAAACTCAGGTTAAATCCATGCAGTCCAGCACATTGACATGCATGGTACATGTGAGTCACCATTCTTTGAACAAATTATATAGTTAGGTCAAAGTGTGTGAAAGATAACCATCTTTCAAAGACCTTGTTTAAAGCACATGCTTAAACTTAAACAGTTCAACACTTCAAGTTTCGTTGCATTCCCGGGTTGCACGCTTGACGCTTCGAGATGACGCGATGTAGAAATGTGTAGGCCAGCCTTTGTTACTGCTTAACAGTACCAGTCTCTGTAGCCCTAAGTGTTATTCAAGCGTTGTTGCATGGTATATCTACTTTGAATTGAAGTTTGCGTATTTTTGCTATATTATATTAGTTACTCCACGCAGTAGCTCGACTGTTGAAAAGATGATATTTAAAATGTTGTATAATGGCGCTATCGTTGTTTAAGAAGCAGAAAGGTGAAGCCACTATAGCCAATATCAAAGTGATTAATTGCAGTCGCCGTCTTGAAATAGACTTGAGAAACGTTGTAAAGAGCGTTTTTGTTTGGCGTATGTTTCATGCGTCTTCAACGCTACTTGAGATAGCAAAGGAAGGAAGGAAATTGATTGTTCATCGTTATATTTGGGCCACTTAATACTTGAGTATGACGGAAATCGGTTTTTGAGTTGATCATCTCGTAAAACTACTATATCGTAAACAAGGACGACATTTTGTTAAGATTGCATGCAATTACATTTTAATTCTCGTGACTTTGTGGTTGTTTGTCAAGTAGAACGTTATTAACGACCTGTATGGCACGCAGTAATGACACGCTCTCTGTCGAGTTTGTAAATAATGCATGTGCCTTTTTTGTAATGAGAGAACACACTGGCGTCATATTGCGCAAAGTTTTGCCCGAATCATCGTTAATTAAGTGCTGCATATGAAGATTGATGGTTATAGATCAAAAGCTTCGGGAATAAATTTTAATGTTTCGTGATGTTCCTAAATGAAAAGGAAATATATTTATATACAAACAAACAAATATAGTTAATGTATGTTCGAGATATCACGCCACAGTTTGCTTGGATTCGCTTAGAGAGCGTTCAAACACATGAAAGCGTTGAAGTGCAGCTGACTCAATGACATGGTTTAGCTCTATTTTCCCTCTTCGAATGCACGTCACAGAATTGGCAGGTTATTGCCAAGATATTGCGCGTATATATACTGTATAACCTCATTATTTTGTCAATTCAATGTAGGAAGTTTTTAAAGATTTGTGAGCATGCGCAGTTCTGTTAGAGAATCTATACTCAATTGCCTAAGTTTCACACTAATCGTTGACCTTCGAATCGTAAATGCCTTTAAAATATATACTATTAAATTTATGCATATATTTTGATTGGAAGAAAAGTGAACTGTTTAACTCTGTGTGTAACATATATAACATATGAATATATATGTCATAATAATCTATATCAATGTAAATATTATCATCCATCGGAATCCTGCATCAAACCATGGAGAACCGATTTCTTTCAACTTAGTTTAATTTTTGTTTCAAAACAACCAATTAAAAGGATGTTAATATGCAGTGATCGACAAACAAAGGCATAATAACGGTTTTTGATGCAATATCGATAAGTACTTTATTTTTTTGGTACAAAATAAGAGGAAAATTGGTTTGGCCAATACAAACAAACATGGATGGATGAGATCTTCACTTGAATTGACTTGACTTGAAAAATGATGATAAAACTACGTTTTCACTTAGTCAAGTTTTTATAATATTACAATTAAGAGATAGTCCAAAAATAAAGTTTCTGCATGATTACTTGACAAATTTGTAGTGTAGTTTCTAGTCTCGTAGAGGTGGCAGCCTCTTTATGTTTTGCAAACTAAGCTATATTGCTAAGTATATTAATATACTTAATACAAAAACAGAGCAATATATATCATGGCTTTGTCCTCAAGATGTCGGAAACTACATTACGATCTACTCAATTGAGCTCTCCCCTTACATTTGAAGCTGTTTTATAACTAATGAGATTCTTGAAATCTCGTATATGGGTCGTATAACATGCCAACATCAAACTTTGTTAGCATGCAAAGCGAACACAATACATTCTCAACACATCAGAAGTGAATACAATACATTTCCTTGCTCATGTCGATAGTGTGAAAGCTCCAATATATAAATGAGGTCTTCAAGACATCGTAGCGCCTTCCGCTTGACGTGCAGTCGATTTAATTTCCGATTCACCTCGTAGCAAAACGCTTTGTTTAACTGTGTTTTCCTATTTTCATGGGAAAATAATCACGAAATAAAGACAATAATAAATGCGTAAATTAATATGTATAAGAGTATAAACTAAAGTTGTAGTCTCTACTGAGAATCGGTATTTACTTCCCAGTTGAATTAAACTTTTCTTTTCTGGAATGAATGAAAAAGGAGAGTATTTATATAGTTGGAAATATGGAAATATGAATGGAAAAGAAAAGTATTTAGTGAAAGTCATTTAACTCCTCTTGCTTTGTTTCTCCAGCGTCTTCTCAATATTAGGAGCAAAAAACATAGTTGGTAACGGTTTCTTTTTGTACCAGTAAGAGGTATAGCCATGCATATAGACACAGAAGATGGTAATGGTGCTAAGTGGGTGTGGTCGTACATATTTTTTGTTTGAAGGGCTTTGGAAGATGGAAGCTTCAAGTGCCTGTATGGTCTGGGGCCTATATTGTTGCAATTTTTGTATAACTCCTCCTAGTTAGGTCTAAAGATGCATATAATTTTCACAAAACTTTCACATTTTCAAATTTTCATATCTTCAAAATACCTTTCCACATTAGTTCTGTCTAGTAAGATACCCCAAATCCAGATATTTATCCATATTTTTCCCTTCTTTGCAGTATCAAAATAAATATCTTATATCTTCATATCTCTGAAGATGACTCTGTATAATAAACGTGTACAGTATATATAGTTAATTTTTAGCCTCACGCAATATGCTATTGCTTGATTTTACAGTTTAACTTCCTCAAATGTTGTTGTCCTGTTTAGGTAGTGTTGTACAATAAGCTTCCGCGTGGCTTTAGTCGGAACTACTTAAAAATACATGCATCGAACAACCTTTCCATGTCTGGAACGATAATACCTAGTAAAGAGGTTATTCAATAGTGGTTGATTAGTTCCTGATATGATGAGCTTTGACTCTAAAATTTGTAGTTTATATTAGAGGTAGTTCAGACATAAACTTATTTATTTCATTACAGCATCTTTATTTTGTATTGTTATTAAACGTTACTGAGCAGACTTATAGTTATCCCTAGTGTTACTGGGATAAGAGGATCCCACCATGTATAGGATACACTGCCATTAGCTATTCTTTAGCATTTCCATACAACAACAATATGCAACAACAACATACAAAATAATGCGTCAGTAGATTATAATAACAACGAACAATCTAAGACTATCTCTATGTATATGTAAATCAGATCTGCAATGTACGTGTCGGTACATTTTGTATTAAACTTGGCGTTACAGCAGTATGGGGTGTATTCTACAATACGCTGACGTCGTAACGTACGCTGATGTCTAACCCCTCAAAAAGATTAATTTAACAATAGTGACTATGTCAACTGTTAGCTGTTCGTAGTTAGGGCAACTTGTACACTACACATGGAGCATGAATTAGCTAGTTTTAGCTGTCGAAACTGTAGGCCTTACTTTCAAATTCGATTTGAAGTTTGCGGTTAGCGGTTTGCCATAAATGTCAATCTTAAAGTCCCTAATCACACTACGTACGTACAGTTGAAGTAGTTGGTGTAGGAACTACCTAAAGAATAAAATAGTTCCGTCAACGTATTTACGAATGACGTCCTGCATGACGAAGAATCACTATAGAAATTGCGTCAAAGTATTTTCATTCTTTTTCATAAAGTTCAAACACCTGCCATATCAAACCTTATTAATGAATATCATTCATTATTAAGAAAATCCCTCTCCTAAGATATAGAGTATCGGGAAATTGTGGACACCACTGCAGTTAATTAATGCATGGTCCACTTTGAGTTCCGGTATTCTCCACATGTATTAGCAAATGAGAATCTGAGCTCATGCTAAGTCCGAGGGCTTGGATTTCCTTACCAACGTTGAGTAACTTTCATATGGTTGAAAAACCCATGGATTTCAGCATGGAGAGTTTAGTTGGTTCTTTCCTGTGCTTGAAAACTCATGTAAGTTCATGCATGCAGATGGCTCTTGCTTCGAGGGTTTTTCTGTGGGTCCTCCGATAAACAGAAACGTAATATTTTTGCATACTGTAGATAGTATTGTTATACATGTAATATTGGCTGCTAGTTCATGATCTCGACCCCCTCGTTTACGATCGAGGTGGTCTGCCTGGTATGGAGTCTCTGATTGTTTTGTGGATCTTCCCAACGGCTTTGCTCTTTTTATTGTGGTGTCATTCGTATTAGTATTTTTTTCATAAGTAATATCATTAAAAAGTGATAGGCGACCTAACCCTTAGCCAATAATCGTAAAATAACTGACTCACTATATAATCTTTGGAAATCTTGGCCAAAACCTGCAGTTAAGCCGTTCCGCGTCCACCTAGAAGTGGTAAATACGTTGAACTACATAAAACTGCATGAACTAGAGAGGTTCAGATTTGACTTCCACTACTTGAACCAATCAGATGCCTTTGATATATCCGATTAACCAATCAGATGCCTTTGATATATCCGATTAACCAATCAGATGCGCACTAATCCAGTGAGAGGTAGCGGTAGTGGAAGTCAAATCTGCATGAGCCTCTCTAATTATTCCTATATAGTCTGTCCATTGGACACTTATGTAGATTATTTGTATATGCATATACTTTTCGGTTTTCAACTGGAATTGTAGATCGGTAAATGAATTCAAACACGGGGGTCTGCAGTGTATAGGTAATATTGTACAATCAGCTTCCGTGGTATTATATAGAAACAGCATAGAATATGTTGGATTGTTTAATTAAAAAGGTTAAGACATTATTAAAGCTCTTTGTCAGGAACTATAACATGCAGCTATTTCAATTAAGGTTGTCGTCGTCCAGGGCGAACAGCACGATGGGTGTACCAAGTTTTAATATTTTAATTGTTTAGGTAGCCTACACAAGGCAATTCCCAGGGGTATGCTATAAAATATGTTATTCCCATCTTACTTTTGGCGCTTGGATTGTACATTTGACTATTGCATGCTTGTGGCAACCTTAATTGAAACAGCTGCATGTACTACATCACACATCGTTGTTGCACTTCAATGAAATAAACTCAGATCTCAAGTTGCCTAAGCGATTTGACTCTATCTATACTTACAAAATAAAGTAATTGCACAAATTTAACCCTATTTGACATGTATTCAATCAGACAGTAGTCAGAACAATAAGAAGTTAAGTACCGCCTCTAACCTAATAAGGAACAGAAATTAATATATTGGTCGTTTGTCTATAACTTGCGATATGATGATCTACATATATTATATACTATATGCATTATTGTTTTTGTATGTGTCGTTATATTTTTATTTTTTATTATGGAAATCAATCTATAGTTGATAGATTTTATCTATAGTTTATACATGTTTATAGATAGGGTGATAGATTAAAGAGTGTGGGTATAGCGCCAACAATAAGAAAACTTTAGATTAGTAGGGATGGAACTACCTGAAAAATACAAGTTTTCCTTGTATTTCAGTTTCAGGTAGTTCCGACGTTTCCTTGATAGATTGAAGTATTAATTAGAGTTGCAAGTATATAGTTCAACAATTAAGGAACAGCTATTTAGGGTCCATGGCAATCTTCCAAGTTTTTACTACGAATAGCAACAGTGTAATTGAAAGTACCAAGAAGACTCGACAGATTGCATCAGGTGGTGCTACATGTAAACCTATATACAAGTTGATGCTCATATCTCACAGCAATGTAATTTTCTCTCGTTTAATTACAGAAGAAATCGAAATTACCAAGGAAAGAAGTTAGACAGTTGTTCATGACCAATATCCGTTTTTCTTTGTGTCTTTGAACATAGATATGGAGCTTGATATTGTCATCAGGATGAAGTGAAACTAAACAAAATTTTGCTTCAAATTTAATATATATATATATAACAGACACTCTATTCAATTGTATGTGATGACCATATCGACCAATAGACCTAGTTATCATGCATTGCACTATGTTTTCTATGAATATGCATGAAACACTGCAATCGCAATATATCAATATCATGCAGGATTTAAAACTTTAAATTACTCTTTGCAAAATCCAATACTTATACTTTGCAGAGAATACGCAAAGTGTGAAAGCTGTAATAAAAAGTTTATATCTAGAAAAAAGTTGGCACAATACAATTCCTGTTTAAATATTGTAAACTACATCTATTATAATACATATTGAAAATAAGGCAGCTCTCAAAGGGTTTAGTTTGTTTTTCATCAGCAAAGAGCTCTCGTGACAATTTGGAGTCTTGCATTCGGTTTCCATGTAGTTAAAGGGATGTACGTACATTGACTCAACCGTATAAGAACAATTTCCTGCATATATCTCCTAATCACCTGATAATTCCATCTAAAACAAGACATTAAACAGTTCTTTTAGCATTAATAATCCCTTTTATGTTGAAAGGGGATGCCATATGATAAAGATTCTAGATAGTATACCTAATTCTCTTATTTTGGAGATTCTTTTAATAAGATCGAATGATTAAGAGTTTCAAAATTAGTTGGAGCAAATACTGTATAGTATAGTATGGTATAGGCTGGCGTACATCGAAATCTTCATTATATATACTAGGCCTATATTGATTTCATCTCCAGTGGGATCTTCAAGTGACTCCGCGATCCATATAGAGTGAAACCATTGGTAGTGAAGATATATGTAGTGAAGATGTATACTAATTTCTATATGGATTTTAGATTAATTGTAAAATTTACAGAGCCTCCTTTGATACCTGCAGCCTTTGAAGTAAGGAGATCCCTGTTTAAAAAATTGCAATGCTTTACGACTATTGGGGGGGATTGGTTGTCATCATATTAAATAATTTTGCTACCATGCAATGCTTTCATGGTTGTAAAATTATTTCTATCAGCTTTGCAATCCAGTTACCGAATTCAAAGGCCTTCAGAAATTATGGGGGTGGGGTGAGGGGGTGGTTGCCTCCTAGGGTCGTCCACCGGTAATGTTGTAACAAGCATTGTGTGGAATGTGTGCAAACATCTGGGGCCGGTTTTTCAAAGCTGGATTAACACTAACCCTGAGTTAAAATTTAACCTGCAGAACCTGCTGTTTTAGTTTATGTATTTCTGCACATTTGTTTATTTCAAAACTTCAGAGAAGAAAAAACTCCTACTGATTCAGACAAGATCTCTGAAGAAATATTGCAAAATTTATAAACAAGCCGTTGGAAAGTTTGCTTTGAATTTTAGGTTAACCTAGGGTTAAGTTGACCCAGCTTTGAACAACCGACCCCAGGTATATAATCAAACGACAAATGTTATAGCATCTGCAAAATTCCTCCAGACATGAAGACGTCTTTAACTTCCCGAGTTAAGATGAAGTACTCACGGTAACGTGTTTAATTAAAGCTTCTAAATGAGTTTCCAATTTTAGCCAATAAAGACCTAACGGTTTCTATTTTAGACATTTAATGATTGTTTTGGTCACTGCCAATAAATAGATTGGGGTCATAAGATGTAAGCTTGATTTGGATTTCCATTAAAGTAACACGCTTTACAATAAGGACATTTTCTGCTTACATGCATGCATGCATGCATGCATTCACTTAAAAACATATTCCATGTGCAGTCTACATCATTCAATGATAAAAAAGACTTTTGTTTCATCTGAGATATACCTGTCTACTGCATATATTTACAGCCCTAATCCAATCTCTAATCCTAACGCAATGCTCACATTGAGGTAATTGTAAAATGATCTGCATGTCTTATCTGGAGAGTCTAATAAAAAGCCTCGCACCTATACAGGTAGGATTTCAATGTAAAAACTCTTATACATACCGACGTACGGTTCTGTTATAAGTCTACAAGTGTTCTTGTCAGGATGGTCCTTTTCCCGTCACACTCTGATGCTTCGATATCCTTGTTCCCAGGGCTTTTCAGCTTACACGATCAGAAATTGCGGCCACAAATAGATCTTGCCGTTTATTCACTTGTCACCCAATGGCCTCGTTTTCGTGTCAAATACTAACTCATGTTTTGTGCTTAGTAGGGTTGAAAATTGCTTTGTTATTGAGCCTAAGAACAGCAAGAAACAAATTCGTCCAGGAAACCATGGGAATATAATCTTTATCTGCCCCTGACATGCTAAAATAAGTTAACATGGAAGCGAGGCCATTGGGTAAAAGAGAATAATCGGTAAGGTCTATTGAGATTTTAGAGCAAAGATAAGCTTGCTGAACATGCACAGAATGTACATGTGCTGACGTGTACTGAATATTAATGAGGAAAACTGCTATAAAATCATTTCAAGATATGGTCGGCACAGATGTAATAGTTGATTTATCAGCAAAGTTTCGAGATTACGAGAAGGTTAAAGATCCAGAAAAAATATTAGGCGACTCAACCATAACCAAGAACTATTTAAACTTACAATTCGAGCCTTATTTCGCCACAAATAAGTCGAAATAATGCAAAACAAAAAGCGCGGGAAAATCCTTAACTGAGCCCATAATATCCTTGTTCCCAGGGCTTTCCAGCTTACACGACCATTTTTTTGTGCAATTTCCTGGGTACGAGGTTTCTGCCGAAGAAGCTCTTTGATAAAGAGCTTAAGCAAGCGACTTCTTTGACAACACGGACGTCATGCGTACAACCGTTCATTATGGCGTCAGAAGTTCTTGCTTGAAATCAAGAGCGGCAGTCAGTGCAGTTTTCAAACAAACGTGATTTCAAACAAGAACGGCTCTCGCTATCTATCACGGCTAGATTGACAGCCGGCCGGCGTTCGTGAATCTCTCTAATATGTTACATATGCCCAGCTGAATCATGGGTATCGCTCAATGACTTGACCTGCACGAAGACAATTATTTTCTTCCAAATAATTCCCACCGCACTTTTATCATGTTTCACTGCTTGGGCTGTCATTGGCCAAAATGGTGAACCAAACTAAACTATAAGCTAAAATCAGTGGAGCAATGCGAAACGAGTAAATCCCCATTTTAACCTCTCTTTACCCTAAACCTATAGCCTACGTGTCAGGGCTACCCTAACTCTGATCATTGCGACTCATTTTGGGATGGTAGTATGGAACTTCATTCACTAGGTTGGTTGTAGAATGCAACGGCCTGAAAAATATAGAAAGTATACTTTAAGCATTTCAAGCGAAGGCTCTGAAGAAGATCACTATAGCTTTATTAATAATTGGTACTTTTTGGAGGAAAAAAACCCGAGATAATTTATTATGGTTGTTAATAATTGCAGGGGAAAAGCAAAAGATTAATATCTAAGTTTGTTGTGATTGAAGATTCCTTAACAATAAATCCTGTATGTTGTTGATATTGTGTTTGACGGTATTTCTTTTATTTCTACACACCAGACATGGGTGACTTGCATGAGGTATATATAACCTGAAACACTTCTTAATGGGCGGTGCCATATATGCCTGGCGGGCTTTATCTAACCTATATTGACCAAGTATTGCCCGAGAATTAATTGGCGATATTCAAAATGGTGTAATATTTATAATTGCTGTTATTCATCAGTTTACTATACAAGAAAAGATTATTAATTTGATGGTATAATTGTTTTGTTTTTGTGGTCATGTTTATGTGTTTGGCAAAGTTTTTGGGTTCATCCGTGAAAATCATGAAGATATGGGCTTTACAGAAAGCTTTGCAATGATAAATAGTAAGTCTTACCATAGTGTTTCCTCAAACAAAAACAAATTATATTCCTAACTGCTGCAATGTACTTAGCATAAGAAAAGCATCTCAAGTATGGCCATGTGATTATATTTTTTGTAGATTTGCATGGCGATTAAAATAATTGTTTTGTTTTTGTGAAAGATAGCACGTGTACTCGTCTCCATTAGTGCTGGTAATACTTGTCACCATCGAAACCTATCCGGAACCTAAAACATCATAGGATCGATTGATATCACAAAATAAAACCATACAGTAATGTATCATAGCCGATATTAATATAAACAATTGTAAGTATATAGAGGATTCAATCCGTATATCCTGTATTGATATTGTTTGTATGTTGTAGACAATCAGAGGTGGCCTGTTTTTATTTAAATTAAAACACTTCTAATGGGCGGTGATACATATAACAAGCGCTTTACGAATGACTACCCAATATCGTATGTTGTGCCTGATATGAAAATAGGAGCGGGTAATAATTAATGCCCGGATGCAAGATCGTATCAGCGAGTTCGAACAATGATATGAGATGACGGTCGGACAAAACATAGGAAACTGTCTTCGTGGGAACTGGTTAAGAAAGACGTTTACAGAGCTAAAGCACATATTACAGAAGCATCCAGCAGCATTTAATTTATACACCGATGCAGGCTGTGCAATATAAAAATAATGGACGAATTACGCCGGTTATGCCATGCTAGAACAATAGTCAATACAACGGAAACCGGTTGTACAAAGTATAAGAAGTTCTCTTCTTCAGAGGAAATCTTTGATACCTTCAGATTGTACTTCCCAGTACCAGATCTGTACTTTTTTGAAAAAATAAGACATTCACAACCTTCCTTAAACAATACTAGATTCCCCTTATTACGTTTTCGTAGCGCTTTGCATTGTGGTTATAGTGGTATCACTGATATTCAAGATGCTTATTTTTTGTCCTGACCCGTGCGAGAACTTTTTGAAAAAAGCTAGGGTTAGGTGCGCGATAGCCAACAGCAAAATATTCGCGAAAACATTCAATATTTTCATTCGAGGCCGCTATCTTTATCAGTGATACCACTATAACCACAATGCAAAGCGCTACGAAAACGTAATAAGAGGAATCATCAATTGATGCTATTGTACAAATTTGTACCGCACCACAGGCCCTCGTGCATCATGGGAGGTTACAATTCTAAAACAAAATGGTATACATTTCCCATGTGTCAACGCGAGTCAAAAGTTTCAATAAAGCAAATTTAAACCCGAAAATCTATTTGGGAACTAAAACTAGTGAAAAACGTTTTGCAGAAGGGTCAATTAAAAAGCTAAAAAAACCTTATAATAGGTCGTATAATAATAGGTCGTAAAAAAAGTATTTTTGCTTATAAAATATTGAATTTTCATGATGCTACGCATATATTTCCTACGCCATGGCGCTGCTAGGGCAGATATAACTGACTAATCAGATACGATTTTGGCTAAAAGCTGTACTGTGATTCGCTGAAACGATGGTTGGTTATTTATTTATGCTAATTTATGTTGCACATTTAATTACCAACATCATGGCAAATTTTTTACAAAATTCCTCAGGCCCACCGTATTTGTGTGACCTTCCCATGGTGCGACAGGGCCTGTGGAGTAGGCATGCACTCTGCGAATACCCCCCGAAGCCTGGAACCAACTCTCGTTGAAATCGGGAATCAGCGGATAGTCGAAGTTTGAAGTTTTGAAATAAATTGCATTCCTGAAATGTTTATTAAAACAGGAAGAGGAACTAATAAATTCTGTCTGCAGTAGGTTCAAGTCCTCTCGCTAAGTGTAGGTGTGCCTTTGGGGGTATAGGTGGTGAAGTGGTTTAAGTACATTTGCATATGTCGCCCATGACCACTAATTTTATAATGTTATTATAAATTATAAAGCCAAATGGCTCTTATAATCTTGGGGTAAAGATCTACCTAAAATGATCATGTTTTGTGATTGGCTTTCAGAAACAAAAATGATCATTGTTCGTGACTCGTTCTTTATAGTTTTATTGTCTTTCATTGTTATAATCAACCAACCACGAGCCTGGATAGTATAGGTATAGATGACCCTTATCTTGTGACTCAAATTGTATGATTCTGTATGGGGTAGCCATAAGCATGCATCTAACTGATATGACTTTAAATGCCGTGACATTTGGGTACTTATTTCAGCATATATAGGTACTTACTGCCCCATGGTGAAAAAAATCCTGCTTACGGCCCTGATTTCGCCTCTGTGATATAGAGGTTCGATTTCGTACGTGAGACAAAAGTACTCCCACATGCCTTCTGTTTTCCTTGCTGGACCAAACCCTTAATTATTGTACCTCCAAGGAGAACACTCAGAGCAGTTTACATTAAAATTTACTTCCGTCATCGCCTTCAACCTCATATTGGAACCGAATTCTTTGATTTCAAATACAAATTAGTATCCCAGTTCTTATTTTGAATTGAAATATTAATGAACATAATAATACAAATACAACTTTATTTGACCAGACTATATATATATATATATATATATATAACGTATTGCTGGATGATAGCCCATGCAATGGCTTTGTATTATATTCCGACACGATCAAATCTAAATGAATCGGTATTTTTCGGAATGAGGACAATATGCAGATTTTCATATTTAATATATGTTTTGGTTTGCGGAAAAACATCACGTATATTTATTATTGCACAAACAAAAACATATTTTATATCGTCGCGGTGCAAATTTACGAAGAACTTAGATCTTCGTATTTTCTAACCAACCAACCAAGTGAGCAATATCAGTTATAGCCATCAGTTAGTGGCGGCCTGCATAGGCGACCAATCAGAACAGCGCACGGAGCATATTTATGCATGGACAAGCAATTATTTCAAATACTCAAATAAAGAAAGATTTTCTTTCACTCGAAACATGTAATATAATAAACATTGGCTTATTTTTTTGTATTATTGGGAAAATGATAAAACTTAATGTTTATAGCAGTAATATATAGATAAAAGGTGACAATATGAGCAGACATTTGTTCAAATGGGGAGAAATTTCCTGTGATTGAAAATTGGCGAAAACACAAGGAGCAAGGTTATTTTTATCGATGACTTTATCACATAATTTACTTCTGGCAACCTCATAAAAAGCACTCTGGCGAACTTCTGGTCATCATGAAAGATTCATTGAAATATATATAAAAGAATTAAAAGGTTTTAGATTACACTCCGGATTCAAGGCTAAACAAATATAAAACCACTTCGTAAACACTTAAAATTTGAAGAACTTGTACGTCAAAGGAAATCAAATATAAAGAACTAAATGCCCTATGATCGATATGATTTATACCCTTAATGTGACATTGATTGAAAAACAACCGATTATGAAAGAATAATTTAATTTGATAAAAGATTTGAAATATTATATGTTTTGATCGATGGGGATTCCTAGGATACAATGGTTAATATCATACCTTATTTAAAACCTCCCTCTTAGGAATATGAATTTATAACTAAATGCTTGAGGTTTAGATATCTTTAGATAAGCTAAAATTCAAGCCAATTGTAGATATTTTGTATATATTTAATATATCAAAAGTGCGGGCAAATGTCAGTTTTCAGTTCAGACACTCGTTTCAGTGTGATCCATTTCACTCAATTGCAAATTGTGCTATATATAGCTAAGGCCTTCTGTTTGAGCATGACCTTGGCACCACTACAACTTCTGCAAAGCCATATTTGTTAGAGAAAGCGCCTTTGAGATCCCGGCGGAGTTCGAATCCGCGGACTGATTGTACTTCGAGGTTTATACTTTGTAGAGAAAGTGGTTATATATCGTTATGTACGTAACGGTCACAAGACCTTTAGGCTTGTGGTTGCGTCAGAAATTAAACAATGAAAAATCTATTTGTATCTAAAGTTGTCTGTTAATATTGTTATGTTCCTCGTATATTTTTCTTTGTTAATAACCCTAATCACAACCCTCCTCTCTAACCGTGAACGACCTTGTGACCGTAACATATAACGATTATAACCGAGAAAGCCAGTTGTTTTTTGGGTACTCGGTTTCCATATACAGAAAAAATAGCAGGATGAGATAGAGTATTGTGTGGAATTATTATAGGAAATTCAAAGCTTTATAGCTCCTGGAAAGCTGACAGGGTGGGTTAGGGTAAATATATTAAAAATGTGATATAGATAAGCTTTTAAAGGCGTTAACTTACTGACGTACTCCGCGGGTTCCTCGCCCGGCCAAAAGTTGCCAGGGTTAGGATAAATAGATTAAAGAGTAATTTACAATTGTTGTTAAGATATATAATAGGCTATACGCAAATGTCCTTAAAAGGCGTCAACTTCGTACTTATATTTTCATAGGAAAGTTCTAGGGTGGGTTAGGAACTCAGGATAAATTAATAATTATACGTCAAAGTATAATATTCTTCCAATAAAAGGCGTAAACTTTATACTTGTATACTAGTTTCATACGAAAGTTGTCAAGATATATATATACTATATAGTTTCATACGAAAGTTGTCAAGATATATATATATACTATATAGTTTCATACGAAAGTTGTCAAGATATATATACTATATAGTTTCATACGAAAGTTGTCAAGATATATATACTATATAGTTTCATACGAAAGTTGTCAGGATGTGGCTTAGGATAAATAGATTCGGAAATGAATATATTGCGGTTTTTGTTGAGGGAAATAGGCTTGGAAAATAACCTTATTAAAACATATTGAATAACATATTAGTAAATTAATAACATATTAAAAAGGCGTTAGCTTTATTGTTTCCAATTTCCGAAACTTCGAATTTTACATTTTCAGAAGTGTAATTCCGCCATATGCAGATCGCATGATGTTTCTAAGCAATCATGGTGATTATAGACCCACCCTAGGCCATTATAGGTATGGATATTAGGATATACTGACTAAGCAACTAATAACTATTACTATACTTTTATGGTAAAAAGGCGTTAACTTTATATTGGGTCTAATTTCCGAAACTTAGCAATTTTTCGGAGTGACTTCTAAGTTTCCTCATTTCGCAATGTAGATTCTGTGTTCCAATCTTTGATCCACGTTTTAGGTGTGGATATTGAAAACAGGATCTTGCGTTATAAAGACTATAAAGAGCTGTTAGAAAAAAGGTGTGATTAATTTGAATAAACTTGAATGCATCTTGAGTCTTGAATTATAACCTCAAGTTCTTTCTTTGAGGATGACAAACAACTTTGTGGTGATGACAAGGCAAACAAATACACTTGAGATGAACGATATTGCACAAGGCATATAGCGTTATGTTTTTAGTCAAGGTTCTCAGCGATATAAAGGAAACTTTCTATAAAAATATCCGAATTTAGGTTAGGAGTGTATAGGACTGTGTTATATAAGAATTGGATTAAAGTTAATATTGTTTTTCTGATAATACTGAACTGTGAAAGTGTTTGTGTATTGAAATGGTCTGTGACCTGACCTGACCATGGCGACTTTCACTCAAATATCTACAGTAGCTATCAAATATTCTGAAAGGACATCACAGTGTCTTTCATATCTCACTGTTTGCATTGAGTAGGCGTACGAGTTAGGGTTAGGATTATGTTACGATTTTGATTAAAGTTAATATTGTTTATCTTAACATTCTGAACTAGTAGTGGATTTTATGCTTCAGATATACTTTCTATTTGCTAGGTCTAGAGATGTTCTATTATGTTATATAACATATAATAATAATATATGGCATTAGTACCAGTTAAAGTGAAGCTAAAAAATGCTGTCAATATACATACAATAAATAGTTTTGAAAGAGAGAGGGCTCGAGCAAAGAATTTAAAAGGGGCTGCCCTGTGTAAAGTGAGCAGCCAACATTATTACTGTAATTATCTATTATATAAAAGGCCCTCTTTCAAACTTCAATCTTAACCCAAGCTGAGGTGTTGCTTAGGGGGATACCCTGTGAAATGTTTTAGAGGGGGATACCGTGTGAAGTGTTGTCGAGGGAATACCCTGCATGTGAAGTGTTTTAGAGGGGGATACCCTGTGACGTGTAATCGAGGGGGATACCCTGTGAAGTGCAGTCGAGGGGGATACCCTGTGAAGTGTAGTCGAGGGGACACCCTGACTATATCCATGACCTAAGCTGCAGTTTATTTTCATAGTTTACGTAAGTTGGACAAATTTGCATACGAACACACTGGATCTTGCAAACAGCATTCCAGATACGTATAAAGAGATCTGCGCATCACCATCTCAAATAACCTAGCCTCTAATCGTGAAAGGGGAGATATTGTAACACGAGAATTGTACTCATTCATTAATTTATGCAAGATCCACAACCTGAAAAGACTTTCAAGTTGAAGTACTCATTACAAGCAAAGAAAACACTTGATAGAAATACACTATTCAAATTAATTACAGATAGTTCATTACTAATTTATCAAATTTAACGATGAAAATGGCAGGCATACATATGTAAAGATAAGTAATTAGGAAAAGCAATATGCAAGTTGTGCAATATATTCTAAAGTAAAGCTTGACTTAATGGTATTTATCAAGCTTTTCTTATAACGTTTGAAGGACTGTAGAAGTTGATCCAATATACAAAACTATTGTCCTCTAAGGTGACAGAAGCTACAAAGAGGTGGCATTTATTAAAAGAAACTTTTAATTCCAGTTATTGAAAAAGGAACTATTTAATTTCTTAAATCCCAAACATATGGCCATGGCTTTATCATCTTGGGAAAATTTTGCTAACTGTTTATCTTTCGAAACTGAGCTGTGCACGCAAGCATTGTCCTGCAAATGCTGGATAAGGCGAAGAGCAATATAGATCATTAAGAGATTGTGTGTGAATAATTTACGATAACTCTTGAAAATATAACAAACAATACAGTCTAAGACAATGAATGACAGATCCAGATTGCTCTTCAGAATTTAATAAGATTTGTAATTCACATTAAGGTGAGCTATACTGTATATTCAGAATCATATACTCGAAAAATTTAAGATATGAAAATATAATTGTGTACATAGAGTATAATATAAGTGCATGTCAATGCCAGAGAACATTTACATGCAGAAAACACTTACGCCTATATATTCTAAAAGCTCACACTCAAAGAGTGGATATTCAATATGAGCTTCCCTTGAGTGTCAATGCTGTTTTTGAATAGCTGGAGGGTGAGCAGTCAGCCAGTCACACAGTAAGGTAGGGCACTAACCCTCCAGCTAGTCAAAAACAGCATTGACACTCAAGGGAAGCTCAGATTGGGGCTTCGGTGGCCAAGTGGTTAGCGCACTTGCCTTTCACCTCTGAGGCTGCAGGTTCGAATCTCACTAAGTACCTTCTCAGTGCGACTCGAACCCAGTCCCCATGTGAAAAGAGTAAAAGTCAACGCTCTGCCGAAAGCCGTGGGTTTTCCCCGGGTACTCCGGTTTCCTCCCACAGGGAAAGTTGACAGGGTGGGTTAGGTAAAAAGGGCCCACAGTAATTGGCATATGCTGTTGTGGTGACCCTGCCCTAGTTGGCAAAGCTAAATAAATAAATAGATTGAACTTCCACTCTTTGAGCGTGTGTGAGCTTTTAGAATACAGGCGTTAATCTGACTATGATTGATTAACTATGTTGAAGTAGTTCAACGAACATTCTTACAACTGTATGGCCCATGGGCATGGATTACCGAATCAATTTATTTATGATCAACTGTGTATCCGAGTACTTTCCTGTACTTTTCTGTTTCCTCCTTTCATTGGAGAACTCTTTAATGCATGCCCTGTACATTAGTTAATCAGTGCTATAGAAACCACACAATGATTTTATACTTTGTAAAAATAAAGTTGGATGAAATACTTAATCTTGCTCCATTAGAAACATACCGCGTGCATGTGCACGATACATCCACTGATTTCTCGACCGAGCTCGTTAACTATTCATGAGCGAAATACACAAACGAAATCAGCATTGTATATCTTACTTTGAAACTGTGGTAATAATTTTCCTTAAATTAAGTTATCTTTATGTGATTGTCTATTCAAATACTATAGCTGGTTTTTTTATATCTATAGCGTGACAAGTTGCACACTTTGAGAAACTGCATAGACTAGAGGACAAACGTTTATCAATATTATTAAAAACACCTCAAAATGATTAGAATCTTCGATTTGTATAGCGTGTTGTTTTCCACCATTTTGCTGTTTCAGATCATTAAAGCGTCTACCAATTCTTGGTAATAAACATGCAAATGAAATTTTGTTTGTGTCACAAAGCCATTGATGATTTTCAAAAGAGATCCTGTGAGTGGTACTTGCTGTTTTAATAAAGGCCAACATATTTTATGACAGCTATATAGTAGCCTTGACCTTATATTTTGCAAAATATAAAGTTATCGATGAACTATAAGTGCTTCCAGGATATGGAGTGTATAATGAAGTTCGACCATTCTTAAGTATATTATGAATATAGAATCTAGTGCTTTGTGCAAAAGCCATAGCTTGGAAAAGGAATCAACATAAATTACCAAGCCAACATGAGATTAAACACTTGTGGTTGTAGCCTTGACCTCCGAATGCTAAATATACTTACAAGATACTTCAGTAATCTTGACCTTGGTGGTTACAACTCATTTATTGCTCTTAATTTCCGAAATCTGTTAAAACCTGTACCTCATGCAAGTTGTATTACATTGAATTCTCAAATACCGTATTTTATGTTTTAATTCATTTCATAATTTCACTTTACTATAACGAGTGATATAACTGCTGAATACAGGCGTATTTCTCGGAAATTGTTTTTCTGTAAAACGTTTGTTGAAGGTCTTTCTGCACTGTGATATGAGAGAAGATTGAGGTCCCGAAACTGAACCTTTTTATTAATGTTATTATAAAATAGGAATAAGAGATCATGAAGGGGTGTCGGGTGGAGGAGGGTGTAAGGGGCAGGTAGGGGGTGAGGGGCAGGTTCAAATCCAATTAACAGGCCAAATTTCCTCTCAATCTAGTCACCCGACCCACTTGTTTAAATGGTGCAAATCCCATTCCCAGTGGTTCAAAACTCGTATTCCAGGTGAAAAATACACAAATACCATGCAGCTCCCCATACTTTTATCCCTTTACGACCCTAAATACATGGTGCATTTGTGCTGAGACTGCAAGATTTGGCCTGACCTTGGACTGACCATGGACTGCATTGCCCTTGTCTGATTGGCTGTGTTCATGCATTAGTCAGCCAGTCAGGGAAGCTAATACACGAGACACTTCCTGCATAGAAGTTGTATATAGACAGCCATTGTATTGTACAAAGAACACAGTTTAATGAAATGACATTTTTACCATCAATAATCAAACTCTCTATACAAAATATTTTTACATTCTAAGGAGCTATATACGACTGGAAACCTCGACTTAATTTTCTTTTAATGGCGACATGTTTTCAATTAATATTTTTGATCATGCAGAGATTACTACTGTTAAATGAACATATTTCATTAAAGAAATTTTCCTAAAAGTATTTTTGCCATATATAGTAGCCGTAAAGTTTAAAATTTAGTTTAATTAAAAAATAATCATGCCATACACTAATTTTCCCATCATGTGTGTTCCTTGGGAACTTGAAATTCAAAACTCTCAAGGTGATTATACTAAGGGATTTCCAAGATCGTTAAAATGCCAAAGAATCAACAATCAGACATTTTCAACAATCTCAAACCTAATTACCTTCTTTAACTTACCTTGTATTACCTAGAACCTAATCCCAACCCTAACATTAACCCTATAAACTGAAGCGCTCTGAGTTAAATTTTGAAAACCTTCTTCTCGTCCATCCCTTTTAGCCAATACCGTTTGTATTCTGCCACAAAAATGGAAATAATTAGATTTTCCTTGGACTTTACATTTATGCTTATGTTGCCCAAACGTTTTGCACTGCAAACTTTCATTGTGTTGCCGGTTCATATAGGTAGCACAAATATATAAGCAGAAACAGATAAGAATTCTTCTGCGGTTAACATAAAAAGCTGAAAGAAACTGTACTTGTGAAAAGTGTTTTTCATTTTTCTTAGCTTAATATGCATAGAGATCTATATGTGTATATGATATGTGAAAAGTGGTTTTCATTTTTCTTAGCTTAATATGCATAGAGATCTATTATAGATGTGTATATGATATGTGTATAATATATATCAGTTTATGCTTGTCTTATGTCGAAGCTTTTATCGCACACCATGTACAGCGCCCCCTGGTTTTGTCAGTTGCGCTTATATTCCTATCTTACACGCATTAACCAAGCTTTATAATATAACTTGATTCATAGGTTAAACATCAGCTCTGTTTTTATTCGAAAGCCTTGGCCTATGATTCAACCAAACAGGATATCCCGCAAACCAGACTTGCAGAATAAACACAGTTAAATATGTGAGCTTTTATTGTGATTTATTTTCAATTATTATCTTATTCATGAAAGGAATACTCGAGTTAAATCAACATTTCCCCAGCTCCTCCCTGTTGTCTGTCCCTGAATCGAGATGGAATTTTGATTTCTTTTCCACATGCTCATATGTTGGCTTACACAAAGTACCGCCTACTGTTCCTGACCATTCATAAAGTTTGCTTACACCACGTACTCCCCACTGTTTCGTCAATTCATTTATTCATTTTATTGCCGCGTATATAGTTTGTTTTTGAAAGATCTAAACCAAACTTTAATCCAATATTTAGAGCCCGCAGTGATTTCTGATGATTTTTTAAACGTTTTATAAGCAACACCGCGTTTATATTTTGAACTGAATCATGTGAAAATTGCGAAAAGAATTTCGAAAGCAATCGCGCGCAGTTGATAATTTGCCAAAAATGTGCGTGCAAAACGGAAAATAGGAAAACTGTTTAAAATACAACATAAACTTTATAGACGAGCATCTAAACGGTGATTATTTTTACCCATTAGGACCTCGTCATAATCAAATCTGTTTTCAGTATGAATCAGGGTATGGGTCTTTTGCAATCAAATCCATTTTGGTTGATTTGGTTGATTGCTTATAAACAAATTTGGCTGACGTTGTCACATCGTTACAGTCTGTAGAGACCTTACGATTTAGGACGGTAACCGCGACGGCAACCGCTACGAATAATCATTGAAAAGAATTGAATAATTACTATATATGAATAATTTAGTCATTGTCCTCGCTCTGTTTACAACGCCAAATCGTAGATTTTCACGTCTTGATACAACGGCTGCATTTCAAGCCGCAACAAGTGCAACTTCAAACTGTGTTCAGCAGAACTCTTCCCAAACATAAAACCCATGTCTTCAACTTCTAAGACTGTATTAAATTCGTAGGATTGATAATATACCACGAATTATCTTCACTACCATTTATTTTTTTGAGTTTATTTTGGCCGTCGTCGTCGCGTTGCCGTCCTAAAATCGTAAGGTCTCTACTATCCAATTCAGAGTTATTATTGTTCTAGTTACTGGCAGTGAAGCATATAAGAGTCATTTACTCATGTACATAATCCTAAAGCTTAGTTACCTTTGTTTTATTATGTGCTTCTGTGAACTAGAACAATAGTATAAGTAGGCATGTGAATGATCTAAAGTTGTGCGAGTAGGCTCACTGGGTTAGGGGTGGCCTGTTCGTGGGCTATATAATGAGTATAAATACGTAGAAAAATCGGATGATTTTCAATATATGTTGCTATGCCGAACTGAGGAAAAATGCGTGACTGTGGGCTTTATATCGGGTTTCTTCTAATTTCTTTGGTATTCAGCGGTTCATGAAATATAATGATCGGGTTTTAAATTGTGGTATAACCGTAATTAACAATGTCGGTCCGACCACTCGGTCCTTACTACTTGTTTGTAGTGTGAATTTGGTTTACCTGGTAAAACGAAGCTTATTACAGAAACATTTAAACATTTCCATTTTCACTTGGGAAAAACTAGAAACGGTCTGCCTTTTCTGCAGCGCTCAAAGAAGTGCACTTTGTAAATATATTGAAATTTGCATGTTATTAAAATTATTAGCCCAACCGCAATTAACGGCGTGTTTATACTTGGCAGGTAAAATAAGTGTCAGTAAGCATTGTATGTCGGACTACAACATGGTGGCAAAATTTAATTTAAAATGTTTGCATTGCATATATTATTCACTCTAAACTGACTTTCCTGTTAAGGAGGAGGTTATGTCACAGAATAAAGACACACAGAAATTCGACTCAGTCAAAAAAACGTAACCGCTTCCACGCCATGATTCGTCATGAAAATGCTGACGCCAAATCGTCCTAGCCAGTGCGCTTTTGAGAGGCATTCCCCCCGGGACATCCGCCATTTTGAATATTATCAGGGAGGTGAATGCCTCTGATAAGCGCACTGGCTAGGACCATGGCGTCAGCATTTTGATGACGAATTACGGTTACGCCAAAAACGAAGGAAAAAACAAGAAGTAGGGCTTCTGTATAGTCTCTATTCTGATAGATAGATAGATAGATCGATAGATAATCTAATTGGCTAGATACGTAGATAGATAGATAGATAGATAGATAGATAGATTTTACTCTCAGTCAGTTTTACATTACATGCCAAAATTAGTTCGTGTAACTTGGCCTTTAGTAGAATTCATCATCATAATTATGCTGCATTGTTAGTGAAAACAGCATAAAAGTAAGACAGTAAAAATACAGTAATCAGGCTCCTATGCTCCAAATCCAACCAATACTCAATTGCACTCGATGTGTGACGTCATAGTAATGAATTGGGTAAACGATCCAAGATGGCGGACAATCAAATCGAACGATGCACCAAATGCAAACGAATTATTCCATGTTGTTGCTTTGAAAAACGTTTTGTTCTTTAGAGACTTCTGCATAATTATGTGTGCGTCAAATATAAGTGTGTGTTGGTTCACGAAATGTAAGAAAGTGCTCGAATCATGAAGATTGAGCGAAATATGTAGTATAGTTTCGCTACTCCTTTAAAGCTTCGTCACTATTTTCCGTCTTCTTCTCTCGGACGAAACAAGTTTGAAACTGACGTAGTGACAAAGAGTTTAAGGTGAGCGAAACTACGCGAACAATATTCAAACTGAGTGCAAATCTTTTGTAAATATAACGTCATGTCGTTATAAAAAAAGATCAATAGCAATTAGATAATATACCGTGGTTTTGGCATGGAATATCAGAGATTGTATCAGTATTGTCGGTTTTAGATGACGTCTTTTGCTGAATGAAGATGACTGACACGGCAGTTAATAAAATTCGTGTATAATCGCATTAGATTAACTTGTCGAAACTTGTGACTACTTAATTTGGCTCATTGTTATATACCCATTAGCTTTGAATGAATATGAAAAGGACGCATTTTAAAAATGTTTTCTATTGAAGATTATATGTTGGCTTTGAATGAATGTAAAAAGGACGTGTTTTAAAAATGTTTTCTATTGAAGATAATATGTTGGCTTTGAATGAATGTAAAAAGGACGTGTTTTAAAAATGTTTTCTATTGAAGATAATATGTTGGCTTTGAATGAATGTAAAAAGGACGTGTTTTAAAAATGTTCTCTATTGAAGATTATATGTCGCTTACACAAAAAGGTTGCATGAACTCTTGCTATCATACTATACCTCTCCATTTAGGAGTAAAATCGTCGGGCGAACTGAATAAATAGTATGCTACAGATGTTTGCTTTAGGTTGATCAAGGAAGGGTTTTTTATTATTATTAAAACTATATTTATTCACGCTTATACCCCTTCAACAACAGCTGCATGATTTCCAAGGGGGGCGTAAGAGTATTAAAACGAAAACTATATACATATAATATAAATGAAGACAATAAACACAATAGATATTTAAATTGTATGAACAAGTAAAAAAGAGGATTATGTGAAGACAGACGTCGGAAATTAATTAAGGAATTGAAAGTATTTATCGAAACAGAATTTCTAACTTCGGATGGTAAGTTCTTCCAAAGGATAAAGGTTAGGTTTTGGGAGATAGAACTTGAAGTCTGAGTTACGCAAATCGTATAATTATGTTGAGAATTGATTGGATTTTGAAATGATTCGATTAGAATAGCAGGTGCTGGTCATGGATTAGTTTATAATGACTGAGTCTGGCTTTCAGGACAAGTCTACGTTTCAGGACAAGTCTACGTTTCAGGACCATAGATATCTTATATACACTAGATAGTGCATCGAATTATTCTGCAATTCAAAAATTGAAGCCGTGATTGCAGACTCAGGATATTCCCATGAAATGAGAAGACTCGTATGTTTTCTATTTCTCAAACAGGGAACTTAAACATTAAGTTAAACCTATTCCAAATACATTTTCAAACTATTCAAATGATGAAAGTTATTGTTGTTTTTCAAGCTTTTATTAGCGAGTGGGAAACTTCAACATGGCCGCCATCTATTAAAATGGGAGTAACCGCTGAATAGTGTATATAAGATATCTATGTTCAGGACAAGTCTACGTTGTATAAGAGTTGAAGGATTTTGTAATTTCGGGTGCAAATTTTATGCATTTATTAGACCCAACCGCGGCAATCTCGTACCCAGAGTATGCCCGTTCGCAGGTTAGGTTCATGGCCAGCACCTAACCTGAGGGCATACTCTTGGTACGAGATTCCAACCGCGGGAGCAGCTATAGACCCTCTGGCAGAAATCTAAGTAAATATATAAACTTTACCCTCGAAATTTTCATCTACAAAATCCTTCAACACTGGAGTTCAATCAAGTGAGGTGCCCAAAAATCTAAATCTTTGATCATCTGATTATCAATTTCCCGTTTGTAATGCAAAATGACTGAAAAACTGCAAACTTCGCAAGGCTATATTATCCGCATTTTACAACAAAATTGCACCGTGTAACATAGCCTTTACACAAGAAATTTTGGTAATCGTTCCATGTTTCGCGCACCAATATAGTAAACGTTATGTAATGGATATTATAGTGTACTGAAAAGTTAACTGGATACCTCCATATACATATATACACACTCTAACCCTAACCTTAAACCTAACCCCTAACCTAACCCTTAATACCTAACCCCTAACCCTAACCTATATTGGTGCGCGAAACATGGAACGATAACCGAAATTTCTATCTTTGGAAATTGCTGCCAGGAAGGGCCGATATATTATCTAGGCCTGAATTTAATGCGGTGCTGTATAGCCTAAATATTATAATACTTGTAACATACACGGCATCTTCTTTGTTGACGGCTACTATACAATGAGGCCGAGTGATTTATTGATAAATCTACTAAAATTAACCAATTCTGGTAAACTTGTAACTATATACCATTATTCAATTACAGATCAATAACAGTTATAGCTTTGATACAAGTCTGCTTGCTGCCTTTTTAGATCATAGTTAGTTCTTGTTGAAAAACTTATTTGCGAGAAAAACAACTAAAAACAGACTTTTGAATTTCACTCCATTGCAAACTGCAGCCAGTTTCTTGTTACTTAACGAGGCTACAGTTACATGTTTGTTATTTTTTCATCAAAGTGTTTTACTCTTTGATTGTTTTAACTCAATCTAGAATGTTCCCCGACTTGTAAGTATGTCTTAATCATTGCTTCCCTACAGGCACATGAGCTGAGACAAAGCCAGTAAATATCCCACAAACTACCCGTCGAGATGACAAGCTGAGTTATTTATGAAGCAATGTAAGTTTGATTCCGTTATATTAATTAATATGAGCCACAGATTACTTACAATTTAAATCCAATTAGACAGTGTATTCACTCTATTCAATATCGCCCACCATGTTTCGAAGTTGCCCGCCATAAACATGCATAGCATGCTTTTCATCCTGTTGATTTCACACGCGAAAATTATTGGCATTGAAGGAGATGAATCCTTAGTAATTACGAAAAGAAGAACTATTTTGTCATAAACACGATTCCCTATGAAGGATTGAATATCTTCAGTTAGTATTTATCATTAAAGATCATTTCTCTTGGCCATCCAGGGAACAAGGGCGATAGTTTAATTTCATTGTTGAGGGAAAATATTTTGCAATTTCTTGTGACTCAATCTAGGAATTTTGTTGGTGTACTAAATTGACAAAGTTTTTTACCGCAACAGCAGAATATTTTTCGGCTGAACTGTTACACAATTCATATAAATCTTGACGTTTCTACCCAAGACACAGTAATTTTATTATTTTGTATATTTGATCTTCGATATTGTCACCCATACAGTTCTTCACATGAATTCTGGCCTTTTCACATGTACGCAGTCGTGCCTATTTTTCTGAAATGACATGTTTTCTGGTTAAATATTACGTGAATATAAAGAATTCAAATTTTTAGGTTCAACATGTAAGTACTACTGAAGACACTGCAGTGTTGTTATATATTTGCTCAGTATTGTTTCAATTGTTCATAACGAATTGGAGAATATTCGAAAACCATATAATAGGAGGACGTACTCTACCACAATAGAATCTTGCTCCAATGGCCTCTTTTTCTTTGTAAAATAGCTGTAATGAAATTCCTGAAAAGCGAATTTTGTTCAAATTTTAATTTGCAAAGACAAGTGCTTATATGGGCAACATAACAAGTGCCTATATGGACAACACAAATACATGTTAGTTGCGAATATATATGTTACTTATTAATTTTTGAAACCCATAGTGCGACTTGAATAAAGTCGAGTTTTCGTATATACATGCATGCATGCATGCACCTTCCGTCTCGTTAAAGTCATAGAACCATCCGAGTGATTTATTTATCTTTATCTTCAATACGCGATACATAAATATTTCAAAGGTCCTTCACAGCATTGATAACAGAAGAGTTTGGCATCCACAATGGGCTATACTGAACATTGAATAAAGCCTTTTTCATTCATTAATTTCAAGACCTCTGACTCGAGAGTGAAGTCTCAATGTGACAAATTTTGACATATTCCTTATAACATGCCTTTAAGTTTCGATTCTTGTGATCATGCAAACATGAAATTAAACAATTAAACGATTTAGCTTTATTATCTCAATGCGTGCCTTGCATATCGTGACCCGTACCGTCTCTTCAATACGCTTCCACACCTCACGTATCGGGCTTATTCAAACACACGAATAGGATGGAATTAGAACAAATTGGGCACTTTGCGCCGCAAACATGCGCCAACAAACCGCACTAAAAGATCGTTTATTTTCGGTTAAACTTCCTATTGTACTCGCACTGAGGTTAGTTAAATTGATCAGTTTTGCGAAATAATTATAACCAACAAAATTGATTGAGTGTTTTGAGCATCAAAGACGTTTGCCGATATTGCTATGTTGGTAGGCGGGACACGTGCTCAAAGCTAGCAAGTCATCCGCACGTCAGGCCATGTGATTGGTATTATGTCTATTATCCTAGGTACAAACACCAAAACACTGGAATTGTACTGCAGAATTAATCCACATTCAAAGCTTAAAACCCCATAAAACGATACCTATGTTATGCAAAAAGACGCAAATAGATAAAGGTCTGTGCAGACTAGCTCAAGAATGCAAAATTTAGCTGTAACTTTGGCTAGGAAAAACATGTCTGTGGCCGCACATTTCTGCTTAATAGACTGAATCTTATCGGGTCATTGCTTAAGAGATCTACCGACTCGGTATTTAAGCCCGACTAATATGGAACATGTGAGCTGACCGTTTTCTCAGACGATTGCACATCCCGACCCTTTAATGTTATCTTGCCGCCTCGTTCAGGCCCACTCGTGGATAACCGCGTCGAAAAATCCGACGACGAATCGTGCGCGCTAACAGTATACTCGCTTAAACTTCGTGTAATTTCAGCAAAATTAGTGATGGACATTGTGCTTTAATGGCTGCCTCACAAAAGCGCATACGAAATAGCAATTATGTTGTAAATCATTCTGGTAGTTCCGTTACACGCCGTGCGGTTGAAGGATATAATTAAACTTTCTTCTCTACCACGACTGCCACCTAGTTGTAGTACAAATTTTGAAAACTGTTTCTTTTCTTTTGAAGAAAGATCATGGTTTTTTTTCAGTAAAACTATAGTATAAAACTAGTAAAAATATATATGACCATCATTTCAATTTAGTGTTCAATGTATGCCCTAGCTAAAATTGCGAAAAAATCTGTATCTTCAAAATAGGATGTTATTATTTTGGGTTGTAAAAGGTACTATGAATTTCTGTTAAGGCAAGCATATGTCAAGACCAGCCGATTCCAATTTAGGCTAACCCTGTCGTGAGGGAGTTTACCAAGGTATTTTCCGCGACCACACCGTTCCGCTTTGCAAATATTCGCTCAAATATCTAAAATTGTTTGCAAATTAAAAGCAGTATGTAACTGGCTGCGAGTGTTTACGGCTGGCGTTATCGTGAAAATGCTGCGTGCTCGCGCTCTCGCTGTTCATTGTTTAATCAATACCAGGCTGATTTGTTTTACGCCGCCGCGCCATTGTTGTGTGTTTTTCATTAAAATTATTTACTTAACTTCACCGATTATCCACTTAGACTGACCTTCGAGTCTGTAGAGATCACTTCTCTAATTGTGCGCAAACTTTAATATTACGCCATATATCAGCAAACATTTTCACTGCGAAGTTTCTTCAATCTGCACATTGCCACTTGAATTGCCACTTGATACCATATTAGTTCAGTGTAAGTTATATTCACACCGCAGTAAAAGTCGGAATACCCCTCTGTCCTTTGCTGATACTTTGCTGATGAATTAATGCTTGCTTATTTTCTAATTTCTGACACCCGGATGCGATCTGTAGTCAGTCAATTTCCCTAAATGACGCGCACCCTAGAAATACTTATATACATGCACCCGCGCCATTCATACAGAAATTGCAAATGAGATCTTCGTCGTTTAAAAAGCGCGGCTACATGTTTAATACAAGGACAAATAATTAATCTAACCGTTTAAAAGTTAAGTGTATCACAATGCGATCGCATTGTCGGTATGTAAGCGGTCGTTTATCTGTATTTATTTAAGTAATCGTTCGTGTTATAGTTCCCCTGGACGCTTGGTAAACATAAGAATGTTTGTCGCTTTTAAGTCATTCTCACTTGCTGCCAACAGGCAACAAGGAAAATTTATCCTCGGACCTACCTTATACACGCATGTGTTCGCGATTTTTCTGCCTATGAGCTTGCTTAGCTCGATAACATATTGTACAGTACGGTCTAATTGTACCTATATATTATAGCAGTTCTACAGTCAAAGGGAAAGACTTTCATATTCTGGTTTTCGTGTCTTCAGTTTTTCTGAGATTTGTTGCGTATTTTTGTGGTATATATGTTCCTTAAGCTGAGAAGAAGCACTTTTCCCCAACTTCTCGATCGTGTCGGTACTGAACAAAATGTACAATAGCGCGAACTAAAATTGATATTAATTTTCTGCACTACTACTATACTTGTAAAGCTGCACATTACATTTGCAAAATAAACGCAATAAATTGCACCTATAGTTGCACAGTAAGAACACATTTTGCGGCATCTGAAATGCTTAATCCTATAATGAAAGCGTGTTGTGATTAACAGTTCTTGTAGGTTAGTTTAAACGTTTTGTTTCTTCAAAAATTGAAGTGGTTTACACGTTGGATATGTATTGACTTTAGCTATCAGATTTCTCTTATTATATTCTGGAATGCAATGAATACTGTGGTACAATGCGACGTATAATGTATATAGTTACATAAGCCATCTTTATGAGATTCTCCAGGGAGGGCAACTTGTAAGTGGAAGCTTTGAACTACAAAGGGTCACTGCATTTGATCTTGTTAGCCACAATGGGAAAAATTACCGTCAAAATGTGCAAATACTCCCAAATTCTTCATGGAAACTCACTAGGATGTTACCCTCCATTGGTGTTCGCCTTGTTTTGCTTATTTTCAAGCGGAAACAAAATCACTCTCGTTCAGATTCGGTCACATACCGTAAAGCATTTAAACGGAAAATATTCCTAATATGTTTGTGGCTCTGGCGGCTTTCCCTCATGTGGCAACGATATGAGCTCCCTAACGCAGTTATTTATAAATATACTTCTTAATAAGATTTACAACTGCTGCGTTTTGCTTGTAGGTTTAACTGCTCTTGTGGCGCATTGCCAATACATTCAGTAATGCGTGCAGAACATCATTTGCGAAAAATGATAGAGTCAACGTGGCGCAACAACTGTATGATATGAGCACTTCTTACAATATTTGGCCCATGTTACTTGCAAAATACGTTTTGGTACAACTTGTAGTTTTCTGTAATAAACTGACACACAGAATAATTTCGTTTTGGAAATATAATTTATAAAACATGCAGGTGGTAATAAACTCGCATAAAAGTCATAAATATACAGGCAAAGCAACTGCATTTCAAAAGTCCGATGGCACGATTCTCCATTAATCTCTCGGCATTAAAACCATTGACTTGAGCTGATTTTGTGCTCAGAACTGATAAACTACAGTTTGCCTACGCCTGCATTTGCCGTACACATGCAGACAAAATGAGAATAAAGCAAGATAGTGTTCAAATAATTTATTTACAGTGATTTTTCAAAAGGTGCGAATTGTACGAATGAAGATGCAATATTGTTAACCCCATGCAGTTGTGTGTTTAAAACGGAGCAACTGTTTCTGTATTTACATAAATTAGGAGTTCCTTTGTACAAAACACTCTAACTGTTCAAATTTTTCTTTAAAATTATATTAAAATACATAATGTACATTTTGTTGAAATAAGGCCTTGCTCGTTGGACGAGCGTTTGTGCCTTGAAATGTTGATCATCGACTCCTTGACACCGAAAATCGGTTGGTGACTCACAATGCCAAAGTGTGCATGAGAGGAAATTTACCATCTTTTATCCAACATCGAACATGAAAAAAGCTTGAAACTGATCCCTTAATATCCTATTTTAATAATTCAAATCTTAGTAATTGCGCATTTACAAATGATTCTCTTAAAGAGTTGTTCGCCGAGAAATATACTCTTCAAAAATGTTCATTCGTCACGGACTTACCGCATTTTTTGAAAATTTAATAGTTTCGTTATTCTCGTGAAATAGAAATCAAATCCAAAAATTATTTCATGGTTTTAGTTGGAACATAAAAGATCATTAAATTTTCCCTTCTTTGGACTAATCTCTTTCCCTTAGAAACTTTAGAAATGCACTTAATCTTGCATCTTGAAAACTCTTCTTCGAGCGAGATTTATAGTCTTCATGTCCCAGCGCAAGAGACAAGCGCAGACATGTCTTGTGCAGGTAGAGGAATTGTATGTTTTGAAATTCCCTTCAACTTTTCGACCGTCTCAAGGAAACAGGTTTTAGTCGTCATTCTCACTTTCACGGCTGAATATTCCAGTGCACGCGAGAAAGCAAGAACGAACCAGCTTAGTCCTGCGTATACAACGACATCTTTCGAATCCCCATCCAGAAATGTTTTAAAATTCCACACCAGAGAAACAGAAACATCGCCTCTGCATGCTTTGTGTAAAATGGTAAAACACAAAGTACATGCATTCTGCTGAAGAACATATGTAGGAGCGACCATTTAGTTCGATTTAGCGGCACCACAATTTTATCCCTCCATTAAAAATGAGGATAGGCTGGCTGTGGTTTGGCAAACATAAATGGTATTGCAGTAGAACAACTTGTCGGGAAGAAATGATGTTGAGTGTTCAAGATATAGGGAGAACCACAATGTGGCAATGTTGGTGGCGCCATGATCGGGCGAGTAGGAGCGGTAGCGTCCATGCCGGGGTTTTGTTTTTTCCATTTTGTACGACGATTCTGGAACCAAATTTTAACTTGTGTTTCGGTTAGACTCAGTGACATTGCAAGATTTAAGCGTTCGCATACTGAAAGATACCGCGTCGTCTTAAATTTGTTTTCCAACGCAACTAATTGTTCATAAGTAAAAGCTGTTCTTGCACGTCGTGGTTTGCCTTCCTTGCCGTTTCTGTCGGTTGAACGTTTCCTTTTCTTTCCCGAGTTTGATTTGGTCTCATCAGACGAATCTGAATCGTCACTCATGCAGTCTTTTTCATCGTCCTCCGGAATTAGCTCGTCTTGACTTTTCCGTTTTTCTGTACCTTTGAAAAGATGGATATACTGGTTAGACATGAATAATCCGAAGTCTGTAAGTTCACGACAACCAAGTACAATATCAGATATGCAGTTTATGTTTGTTATTCTGATATAAGCAAATGAATGCAATCCTCAGAGCACCGAGCGAAAACATGCATGTCTGATGAGTGACTTGGTTTTCATCACTGCATTTTTATTGCAATATTTAACGACATTAAGCATGAACACAATGAACTGGCAAAAATTTAATTTGGACAATTTAACAACGATAAATGCATGATTCCTAGATAAAAACATCAAAAGTTAGTTCCGGCCTTTCCGCTTAAACATATCTTTCAGTGAAGGTAAGTTCTATTTCAATGTATGTTCGAATCAAGACATGCACTGATACCTTTAAAAAACGTCAAGTATATTAATAACAGTAGATATAGTATACTAAATTTTTAAGAATCTTAAAGCGCTGAAAACCTAAACTGGTCCTTAGCGCGAAGGGAAAAGCGCGAGACAGAATGTTGAAGCCTTTGTTGAAGCCTTTGTCACAGCCTTTCATTGAGGAACTTTTTAGTTCTTTTGAGTTCTAATGTGGCTTTTCTGGGACTTAAACCGAAAGAAACTGCCGTTTCATTCTAGAGACCACGAAGATTCACAAATATCCCATTGCAATGTCTTTTTCCAGTGTGTGAAATGTAATTTCAATCTTGTACGAATAAGGACGACGCCTATATGAAATAACCAGACTGTGAAAAGTATATGCCTTGCGTTAGAGCATATCGCTCACGCTTACGTGGCAGTTGGCAGGGTTTGGAAAATTCGAAACAGAGTCTGTTTCTTTTAAAGAAGACTGAATAGCGACTTGTCTCTATACTATTTGAACTATAATTCTCGTTGTTTTTGTAGTTTGTAAACTACAAGGCATGTTGTGCGGCTCAGTATGTAACAAATTGAAAACATGTACAGACAATATAATCAACCAGTCTTGTGATCCTTTTTAACAATTTCCACTTCCCAAGCAAACACCTTCGATCAGGAATTATGCTTTCATACGAACAGATTTCTTGCATGAATTACGAAATACTTCATCTTGGAGGGAAGTTCTTCTAACTACATGCATGCAGAGGGAAGGAATTGTTGTCCCCAAGATAAGTATGGAATATGTTGTATAAGTGTTCCCTCTGTGGTGAACCAAAGAATCCTAAGGTATTAGAATTTCCTCCCAGTGTGTTCCTGCATGAATTCTGTGGTGCGAGATCCGAATTGGAAATTGATCAGGATTTGGGCGTAGAATATTCCCATTTTCAATCTAGACCGCCATTGGGTAGTAGTTATATTGAGAACCCTACAGTGAGCCTATGTGTTTTTGGGATGCTTTTAGTAATTATATACATGTCAATTTTATTTTTTTCTGGACTATAGGACTTTCTGAGGCGACCAACTCACTTGGTATCGGAAACAATTCATAAACACTCCACAAGGATGCGTGTCGCTATAGTCGGCAAATAATTTTCTATTCTCATCTTTTCCGGAATCGCTTTAAGTCAGTTTCCCGTCTTGTATGTTTCGAAAGTGATCACGAGCCAAAAAGAATTGCAAATTCAATTTAAAATCTGGGGTTCTGATCTTCTAGGCTAGGTTTACAACACACACAAAAGATGGTCTTTCAGTCCTTAAACGTGTGTAGCTTTAATTTTCAGGGAGAGATATTGGTCCGCGGCATTTAAAAGCTTTACGTATAAACGTAAATATAACACGTAAGGTTTGAATTTAGTCACCGCCGCAGTATCTAATAGCTGAATGACTTATCATAATCGCACAATTGATCAAACAAATTTCCAATCTGAGGATTTGTGTTCTACCTTCCTTTCACATATTAAGAAATTGTTTCCTCCCTTCCTACGCTATAATTTTAGTAAATACTGGTAAAGGTTTTAAAGTCTTGTTTGGATAAGGAAATGTGACTTGATAAAGACGAGTTATGCTGTGGTTATAGTTGACTGTATAGTAACGCTAGTATGCCTGGCCGCTAACAACTAGATAGTTATTCAAAATAGTAGACTGTTTGTAGGCTTCACCGTCCCAGATTGATTTAAGAGTGATCCAAAGCATTGCTTCGACACTGGCTCGTTGCTTTCAAAATATAGGTTAGTAAAGTTTGATATTCAATCTAATTTGGGACCATAAATTATAATTTGACCATTTGCTTGCGACTTCCTTGGCGCATATTGTAAACAAAATCTCACTCATTAGTTTGAACTACGAACTAGATACAATACGTTTAAACGCTACACTTTACAATGCGCAAAATGTATATTCTAAGCTTAAACCATAAAGTGTTGAATGTAACGAGCGAAATTTGAAAGAAGATTAAAAGACGGCGACGGTCTATTCAGCCGCAAGTCGAAGTCTCGCTGATGACTTGGAATCATGTAGTTTGAATGGGAAGATAATGCCGATCATGTTTAGTACATAATTTAACTACGATCATTTCTCCCGCAGTGGTAGTTTATAAACATATATCTCTTACCATGCATGATTTTCTGTGGCCGGTTGTAACGGGTTGCAGACATCCACGGATGCCAAACTACTTTCTTTGCGTCAGATGTTGGTGAGCCCGTTGGAGAACTTCTCTCTCGCGTAAATTTCTCTGGATTAAGGATATCGTTCACGGAAAATGGTGTTGTTTGTTGTATTATCCTTGGACTTTCTCGGTCGCTCGAATCCGTGCTTGCTTCATCGTCTAGTTCCGCATCATCATGCGTAAATTTCTGCGAGTACTTGTCCTGGCTCGCGATTAACGATTCGATGCAAAAACTGCGGTTCGACTGCATCGTTTAAGAAGTTACTTTATATCTCTCGTTGTTGTCAGGTGCTCGCTCCAAACACGCCGGGTGCTGCTCTCAAATACACGGCACGTCTACAGGTCTCTCAACTGGCTACTGAGACTCTTGTGATTGGCGAGTCGCGATTCCACTATAGCCCCCATACGCCTGTCTGCGGGTGACAACAGGGGGTTCATTGCCTAGTATGCAGGCTCGTATAAGGTGATTCTTTAGGGCACAATGCGAGGCCAAAGATGTTTGATTTGATTACTAAAGCGGCAGTAATTACCTGTCAAATTACCTAAATAAGCTGACAGACTCAAGTGGTGATGAGTTGTCACAGCGATTAGCACTAAAACATCTCCAGTGCCCACTTCAAGCGATTAGCTTTGCCGTTCCATGGACAACATCGGACAGGATTTTACGACCACTTCAAACTCCTCGTTCTCAAAACGTGAGCAATCCGTGTACGCTGGCAAGCTTCGCGTAGACAAAGGACGAACGGGGCGTGCAAATGGGTGCATTTTTCCATTTAAAAGCGCGCTTTATTATTGACCGCATTAACTTTAAGTTATGTTTGACCGCCATCGTCTGATCTCGCCGACATAGTCTATCCCTTTGTGAGGGCCAATTCAATACGATTTACAATAGCGTACTATTTAATTCACACTTTTGCTTCAGTGTTATTGCTCTACTTTATAGAGTCGTGTTATTTCTTGTTTGTTTTTCAACTTGTTGGGTAGTGGAATTGCAACAGTTGTGTGTCACTGTTTGCCGTGTCGACTACATGTGGTGCGACCGCAGTACTTTGTATTTGAGCGTCACCACGGCAGAATTTAACGACTCATTTGTATTGGAACAGCACTAGATGAGAGTTTAAACAATTGCCGCATTCATATGGAGATCAGGTCTCTTTAATGCCACATTGAACGACAATAAACTAACGCAATAAACGCGAGAGGAAGCACGTTCATAATTACATCAAAAACCTGAACATGGCAAACATGATAACCAAATCTTACAAGTGATTAGCTGTTTCAATATTTGTACAACACGTTTGTAGTCGCACCTAGTTGTTAGTCTAGACTTGTACAGTTATAAATTTCACATAGTCAGTGTTACTATACACAAGTAGATATAGAGGCAATATGAGCTTGCTTACTTCATGACTCGGGACACATGTTGAATGAATAAAGCCTGTATAGGGTTTCGGAAGCCGAAAAGTGGCTTTCCATATGTTATGAATCGAATCACCGTCCCTTTGAGGGCGAGAAATGAAAATTGCCGAACGCAACTAAAGTTCCGAAATGTTTTGGAAACGATGTCAAATTGGTTTCCTTTTACCGATTGTGGTCGACTTGCGTCGCGGAATGGTGCACGAAGACACAGAATAAATAAATTAGATTTTAGCAGGTTCGCAAAGAGTAATCGGAAAGCTCTGTTTGATTTTTAATGCGTAGTGTTTGTGATAACACTTCAAAGTCATTATCGGCTTCATAACAATGCTAATAACTACAGCAATTAGGAACAATATATGCATTGATAAAGCATTTAGAAGGTAATGTTGCAGTGGCAATGCCGAGTGCATGGCTAATGGATGCGAGGTCTTGAAACGACCACATGAAAACCTCGAGTCTTTTCCGACACTAAAGAATGTAACAAAAAGTTGGGACTTTTCAAAACGTTCATTGGACCCCCCTTTGTCGTGTGGCGTCTTCGTGACAAGGTCTACTTGTTAACTTTCAATTATCTTGTATTGTTAAGCAGACAGCAAGAATTGATAAAGTTCAAACAACTTCCTTGCGTCTTTTTCGAACATTTATCTTTCCCATTTGCTCGCATTTAATGCTAAACAAACATCAATTTATTTTCCATTCGTTTTGGTGTAGTTTTTGATTAGTTCTCGGCCTAGGCTGCTTAACTCTTTTGTCTTAAACAAGCGGCAGTTAAAAGATTCCTAATTCTTTCATTTGTGTGCGATCCCATGATATTTATTGTCTCAAGACAATAAATATATCAGCCAACGCATATTAACAGATATGGCACCGGAAATTAAACCATTAACATCAAACGTACCGCAGCGTACACCTAACTGCTCAACGCGGCGGGGCGCGCAACGAGCCTGCAATCTGTGGCGAACGCAAATAGAAATGGAGCGCAACTACACGTGCCAAAAATAGAACGCGTCTACTCGATTTAGTCTGCGGAAAGATTGCTAAATGGATTAGTAGCTGCGTTTGGGGTCAACAACTCGGTTTGATCGATTTTCGCGTGGCTCGAAATTTTAAACGGCTCGCCCCCAGTGGATAAAAAAACATCGGCATTTCTTTCGAGAACATGCGAATTGCGCGCCTGGCAGGTGATGGCTAAGGGTAAATTACGAACGCAAACAAATAGAGTTGAATAAAGTGCATTCTTATTTTAAGACCAATTAAAGCTCATTAGGATGTATCGCTTGAAGTTAATTGGTCATAATACTTAGATCAATGCCTTTCAACCGCACATATGGAATATTATTGTGTAATGAAGCCGCACTGTGCGAGCGCATTTTAAACTCGAATTACGCGCAAGTGAACGTGCGAGGAGATAATTTGAATATCTTTTAAACAGAACTTGAGAAGTGCGAGGTTCTAATTGTGACCCACAAGTGCTTTCTAAGAGCCGGCAAGGAAATGTGCTAATAGCTCATTTCTGTTATAAGCATTTCTCATTATTGAGTTAATGAGGGTCAGGCGTAATCCAGAGATAGCATCGTATTCAAGTAATCGTAGAGATATACTTGTTCGCACGCTCTCAACATAACTTAATCTCTTTGTCGATATTGCATAATAGATCATAATCGCGGCGCCTGAGCAAAGAATGGGCAAAATGAACTCGTCTGACCGTTAGACTTACGAAGGCCTAGGATGAGTGCTCTTTAAATTATTTGGGGCGGTGTTGTTCTCCTGAAAGCCAATACAAGCCGACAATTTTAAAAAGTTAGTCTGATGATGATTTTGGAATAAAATAGACATATCATAAACTCATTCTCGTCTTGTTTTGATTCGTATCTTGGGTGTCAAAAGGCAGTAATTTTCCGGTTGCGTTTCGTTTTATATCATTCTCCTATGTTCAGACCTATATGGCTCTATCAGTTCTTAACTGTTCTCCCTAGACGTCCAGTATTGGACCAGTTTTACAGTGAGAGGAAACCAGAGAACTCGTGTCTTAATCTTCAAGTAGTTTAGACCCAAACAATGGACCCTTGCAACCGTTCTAGCGAGTATTGCAAATCACACATTGACAAAACAAACTTTGTCAGACCCTCTCCTCCAGTTCAATGTTGTAAACAACGCCAAAACATCTTTTGGTAATTTACCATAAGCTCAACATGCATTGAGTTGGGGGGCGTGGGGACTTAAGAAGGGCAACATGATTCAACATGATTTTTTCTGTGTTGGTGTTTTGTACTCAGGTGAATATGATGTTTGTGATGTTACTCTGAGTGTATATGGGCTAGTATTCCAAAGGTCGTAGGTTCGATTCCCACCGTGGCCAGGCATATTTTTCAAGCTTGCCCAGTGTGGATATACACTCAGAGTAACATCACAAACATCATGATTCAACGTGATTCGACATGGAATTTATCATAAAGGGTATGTGAATTTTGTACAGAGGGCCAGGTATACTCTCAACCAGTTATTTCCAAGATTATAGCATTATTATGCGATTTACACTGTGCATAAATTACGGGCGTGGATCATCTATTCACTATTTAGAAAGCGCATGCATTCACGAGACACTAGTCTATTAAAATTTTGTTAACAATAGTAGCAGTCGCCGCCTGGTGGTTCCATAATAAATCAAATGATTGCTTCATTAATTACGCCTCTTATTACTACACGAGGATCAAATGTGACTTGCTTTACAACGCTTTGTGTTCCGACCAGATAAATTTAGCACTGACCTCTCGACAATACGATCACAATTCTCAGTTGCTAATTCTTGACATAGTAACATTAATTAATAGTTTGTTATTCTGACAAGTTGTATATTGATTATCTCTGTACATGCATGTTGAACTGTTCTCTTTTATGAATATTTAGTTTTTAACATTAGAGTAATTTTCTAATAAAAAAGTCTATCATATATAGCTGGAGTTGGAAACTCATTCGAAACTGAAGTTGATATTTTGATATGATATATAGGCCAAGCACACATTACATGACTGCCTGAGAACAAGTTAAAATATAGTCTGTGCAAATGTCACAAAAATGACTTTTTCTTTAATTTTTTGTTTGTGAAGTAGTGTGTAAAATGTGAAGATAAGGGATATTATACTTTGTATTACATGATAATGTGTGAATTTCGTGCGATACATGTTCTATTATGAAAGCTATACACATCTACAGTCGTCGCCCAAAACGCCTGTGGCCAAAATCCACTTTGACAATATATCCAGCTTTTTTAGGGATCAGCCAAACACTGATCTCTATAATATGTGGATTATCTCCAGACGATTATTTCCTATCCTATCATGCAGTGACATATTTTTCGATCTAATCATATAGCTCTTGCGTAGTCAATTGACATTTGGCAGGATTTCGACATGTGAAGTACGAGGCTACCTCATTGAGAATAATGAACTAAGGTTATATACTTAGCCAACAAGGATCGATATTTGCACAATGTAGGCCTATACTATAGACTCTAACCTTGGCAACCAGTGATTGCACTGTGGCATAGTGAGTTGTGTTAAATACACATGAATCTTAATTTGGTAAACATAAAAGTGTGTTAACCTGCATAAACAATCAAGCTTGACCGCTGATAAATACACACGATCAAAACAAAGCCATACTGCATACATGCTCTGTCGCTGAGATGTGCTGATTAATAATGGTGCACTCGGCAAGAGTTTACAAACAATTCAGAACATCCTGTGGAGTTTGTTTGGCTTGTAGTGTTTGCTCGTAAAGCGATCATTGCCGAGTTCATTTATTTTATTTGAAAAGAAAATATTCTTTATT